GCATGCAGGCCTTGGCTGAAAGATTGTCAGGCCCCTGGTTATGTGAAGAACACGGGTCTACACTCTTCATATGTCAATCTGGTACATATGTACATTCTCAGTACATGCATACATGCATCCGTACATGCACAGATAGATACCTACGGTGCATACATGCATACCGTGTGTCTCGGTACATACTTGCATACATACATACATGCCTACATGCATACATGCGCACATGCATACCTGCACACATGCATACGCATACATGTGCGTATATACACTTTTCTCATATATACATACACGCATATACGCCCAGCTGCTTACCTACCCACCCACCTACCTATCTACCTACCTATCTCTTTCAACGAGCTGCAACATAAGACGCGGCGCCGAAATGCAGCAACTTGCTGCGACATAGTTTACTGCAATGAAGTGCGGTGTGCGTGTGCGTGCGCGTGTGTGTGTGTGTGCGCGCATGCAAGTGAGCATGCATGAGGTTGTGCGTACATGGCTTTGTTAACATGCGCAGTTAGTTCGGCTCGCATTCGGCCCACCATATGTGGCCTGATAGAACCCAATTTAAAGCCCTGTAACGACCATCTACAACGACTCTATACATCTCCTTGACGCAACTCTTGCAGAGGCAGCGGTGCCAACTTCGCCTTCGTTGAGTTCCGAACAGCGGAAGAGGCAGTTTGGACAGGATGGACCCTAGCCCTAAACCCCGAACCCTGAACCGTAAAGCGCCACAGCAGAAGCTCGAAATCCCTACAGCTCGAAGGCCAGGCTAAAGACCTAAGCCATGATTAGTGCTAAATCCGGAACGCTACTACGCCTACAACCTAAACCCTAGACCCGAAACCCAAAACTGAAACTAACTACTGAAGCTAAAACCCTAGACTTCATAATGACCCATGATAGCCGAAGGCTCACCTCTGTAGTAACCCCAACTCCAAGGTCCCCAGGCCCTGAATCCAACAGTTGAAATCTTAGGGAGTTTCCGAAAATAAGGGGTACCTTATTTTGGGGTCCTTATAATAAGGATCCTACTATTCAGGGTACTACATTAGGGTCCCAATGTTGAAATCTTATAGAAACTCCATGGACTCCTCAATGGAACTCTGGCTGTTGGTGCTTAGTAGGGAATGGATCCCTATAGTAGGGTTTAGGGTTTAGGGTGCTGAGTAATGGGGGAATGGATCCGTATAGTAGTCCCTATATCCCCAATAATAGTCCCCATGATCCATTCTCCCATTCGCTACTAAGAACCAGACAGGGACTCTAGATACCCTAAGATCCCGTATAGAACCCTTATAGGAACCCTTGAAGGGACCCCTATTCCCTACTAAGAACCAGACAGCTAGCCAAACTTCATCGCAAGGCTGCGAATGGCCTCCGGCTGAACGGTGTCGAACTCCTTGGCTGCCAGCTAAAGGCACAGATGGTTTCGGTACATGACGGGTCCGGGTTTGAGGGCTGAGGATTTTTGGAATTCGGTTTAGGGTTTAGGGATGTTTAGGGTTTAGGTAGACGACGGGTCCGGGTGTGAGGGCTGAGGATTTTTTGGAATTAATAGGGTTCAGCGTTTGGGACACGTCCCAAAGTGAGGTGTCGGCGGCATGTCAGGAACCGCCAGGGGCGACGACCAGAGCGACCAGAATCACCAGTGCGCATATGACGACCATGACCACCACGACCACCTGGAGGTCGACCACGGTTTAAGAGTTTGGGGCGAGTCACAAGGAAGGCTTTCCCCTTCCACTGGCGGGATTGACGCATCCACTCCTGTAAATTGCGGGGTGCAGGAGCACGGCCGAAATGCTTTCCACCATTTACTGGCGTGCTCACAGACACGGCCATCATGCTCCTCGGGATTCCATTATTATACGTTTATTATTGCTATTATTACTATTACGACTATCTTCATCATTATTATTTCTTGCGAACCAGGACCCCCGAAGTGCTGCCGGGATTCAGACGACATTTTTCAGACCAACATGAGGCTAATGCACTATAATTTGCAATGCATCTGGCTTTCCGCGGGACGCGGCCTGCAAAGTGTAGAGTGTACCAAGCTGTTTGGGGAATAGAGCCCTGAACAGAAGTTTTATAACACCCTGAGAGAACCCTCCTTGAACCCTTTCTTAACGACTGTAAAACACCGTCTTTTCTGAACCTCCCATACCCAAAACCCAAGACCTAGAATCCAAACCCTAAACCCTGATAGAAATTGTACAATATACAATTTCTATTATGGAAATTGTACATTGTACACCATGACGGTGCAGCTCCTGCTTTGAACTGTTGCTGCTGGAAGTTTGAGTGAAGGAACACATACCAGCAACATCACAAACAGCAAACGTGCCCACCAACACCAGCAGTACTCCAGGGGCCTTAATTATTATAGGGTTTGCGGTATATTGTACTTCAATTATCATCAGGAGCCCCCGAAACCCTATTCTAACCAGTAAGGCCCCTACATTATGCTACGCTGATAGATCCCTTATCGTAGCCCTTATAGACCCCTTTAGAGAGACCCCTAGCCCGCCCAGCCCAGTAGCCCAGCTTTCCCAAACATGAAGGAGACGCCAAAGGCCAGGGGCGAAACCCGCCGCAAAACCTGAACCCTATGCAATTTCTACTAAGCCCTAAACCCTCGCCCCTACACCCTGAACCCTAAACCCTGATCCCTAATCCCTAAACCCCAAACCAGCAAAAGCCCACTACACATTAAAACAACAAACAAGGAACACCCCTAAACCCTAAACCCTAAACCGCCTAAACCCTAAACCCTAATATACCCTGAGCCCGCAAGACGCTTCACAGGTTGGCAGACCGAAGGGTTACACCGGCCCGGAAGCAGGCACTCAAAGGGGGTTTTGGGGGTTTTTGATGGGTTTGGGGCTTTGGGACTTAGGGTTGAAGGTTTAGGGTTTAGGGGTTTAGGGTTTAGGTTTTCGGGTTTAGGGGTTTAGGGGTTTAGGATTTAGTGTTTAGAGCTAGGGGTTTATGGGTTTAGGGTGTAGGGTTTAGGGTCTAGGGTTTTTATGACTTAAGAGGAAGGTTCCCTAAAGGGTTCCTTAAAAGGTTCCTTAAAGGGATCTATAAGGGACCTAGCATCCAAAGGTTTTGGGTTTTTCTGACTGCGGAGCTCTTGAGAGGGTGTGTTGGGTTCTAGAAGGTTTTTAGGATTTGGGAGCTCCAGAGATTTTTTATATGAGGGTTGTAAAGGGTTTTCGGGATTCGGGGGTTTGGGTTCGAGGTCCAGGGGTTTAGTTTAGGTTCAGGTGTACTGTGGGAATTTAGCAGTTCAGGGTGTCGAATGTTCCTGTTCTGTGGGCTTAGGTATTCGGATCTGCATACTCGGATGTAGGGAGTCGTTTTTCCTTTTGCGGAGTTGCTGCGTCCAGTGCACGTTTGGGGGGTTTCCGAAAATCTTATATGGGTGGTTGTCAAAATTAGGGTCCTTTTTTGGGTCCCTATTATAAGATACGGCACCTATTATTTAGGGTACCCAAAAAGGGACCCTCATTTTGACAACTACCTATATGCAAGCTCCAGCGGGCCCTAAGCCCAGGGCATATCCTTGGGATGCCAGGCGCGCCGACATCTTCCTCTACGCCCTCTCTTGGGGTGCGGGCCTCAGCCGGCGGTCGGAGGTTAGGGGTTTGCGGAATGGGCCCAAAACCCTAAAACTCTGAGCTTTTGATTGAACTCTGAAGCCTCAATTAATAAGGCCATACTATTTCCCTAAACCCTAAACCCTAAACCGTTTTGGGACCTAAAGAGGGACCCCGTTTTTAGAGAACTACCCAAGGAGCCCGAGCTTCCAGTAGGACAGGCCCCTCACCCAAAGTCCGAAGCTCTAAAAAACTGAACCCCCACTTGGAGGGTCGGGGGACTTAGTAAGTAGTTATTTTAGGGACTTATAAGTACCATAACCCCAATTAGGGTCCCTTTTAGGGTACTTATAAGTCTACTTACTACCTACTTACTAAGTCCCCCGACCCTCCAAGCAGTCGAAGCCAGCCCTTCACTTGCGAAGCGGACTACTACTAAAAGCCGGGGGCGCTGTTATAGAACCCTATAGTACTCTGGACACGAACCCTAGACTACCCTTACGGGTTTAGGTCGCCCAGGGGGTACTATAAGTGTTGTTGTGAGGGACCATTTGTATGTTACGCTTTTGTTGCCCGCAGCGCCCTTACATCTTGCGCAGGATGGGTAGGGCCAGTAGGAAGACGACAGTGATGGTGATGAAGAATAAGATGAAGGTGAAGGTTACGATGAAGATGATGAGTTTGATTGTCACGATGATGATGGCGATGTTATAATGAAGAAGAAGAAGATGATCATCGCGATCATCTCGCTTTGAATGGTTTCCTTATGCTTCTGGTATGGTCACTTGTCCTTGCTTTGCACTCCTCTCAAGTTGTTCCGCACTCTGCGTAGTATGGACTACTTCCCATTCTGACAACTGGGCTAACTGTTGAAACCTGGCATTCTCCACGATTTCATAATCTCAACTTCGCATTCGATTGTTGTCCCACCCCAAACGTGAAGCCCGTAAACTTGACTGCGCTGCTCCAAGCCGCAGTGACCCTGAACCATCTTCTCAGTCCTTGAGTCAGGTACTTTGGTGCCTTGCTTTACCAGATCTTTTACACCAAATCATACAGCCAAGTTAGTCTGTTTTAACGGCCTTATAGACAAACTGTATCCAAGTAAGATGCTTAACGCCCTCAACCCTAACTTCAACGTAAACACTAATCCCCTAGTCCCTAAATCCTAAGCCCTAAACCCTAGACCCCCAGCACCAACGCTCTTCTTTCCAAAGGTCTCGAACCGCTGTTGCCCCGAAATCCCTATCGAAAACCATCCCCAACCGCTAAACCCTAAATACCCCCACCCTCAACCTTACACCCGAAGCCATTGTAGAACTCCTGATCAGAGTACCAAATCTAGGCCGACATCCCCCTAAACCCTAAACCCTAAGCCTACAGCCCAAGGATCTTATGGCGCAGCACGGAGCACTGGGCAAGACGTCCGCGGCCACAGTTTTGGAGTGCTGTGAGAAGTCAGGGCCACGGATTCAAGAAAGCTCTTAGTGGTTCTTTGAAGCTTCTATAACTAAAGGCTCCTTATACGACTGTTAAAAGTATTACTAGTAGTATGGTTCTAAGGGGGGGTATAGATATTAGGGGTTCAGGGTTTAGGGGTTTAGGGTTTAGGATTTAGGTGTTTAGGGTTTTGGGCGTTTGGGGTTTAGGGTTGAGAACTTTATAAGAATTCGCGATGAGATCCCGAAAAGCCCACAGCTCCAGGAAACCCTGTAAACATCGCTCAAGCCCACAACCCTAAATGGGAGTTGCCGAAAATAGGGGACCCTTATGTAGTACCCTAAATAGTAGGATCCTTATTAGAAGGACCTCTAAATAAGGTACCCCTAATTTCGGAAACTCCCAAATCCTTATCCTAAACTGTGAACCCGTACCGTACAGTTTCGAAGCCATAATACAGGGCCCCAATAACTTCGAATACTACTTTTGTGGTTCCATATTATAACTATCGTGTATGTATATATATATATAAACCCTAGAGCCACAGTCTAGTTACTCAGGCTCCTATATTTTTCGCCACGGACATCTGTCAATCAGAGAAGCGAATCAGCGAACCTGTGTTGTAAGGCCACGTTATTCGAATGCTCCGGCCTAAACCTAAACCCTCAACTCTGTACCCTGGACCCTAAACCCCAAAGACTGACTGTAGCACAGGATGTTGCAGACGGAACAAGGCGCTAGAAAAAGAATGAAGCGCAAAGACTCTAAGCCCAAACCCTTCGTTCGAATGCTCCGACAGAAGAAGCCTAGAGATCCCAAACACCCCTGAATGAAGGAATATACCTGAAGTTACAGGGGCCTTCATATTATGGTTTGAGGTATCTTCCTTAATTAAGGGATCTTAGAATCCCCTCAACCCTAAACCCCATAGATCCCTTAAGGGATCCCTTAAGGGCCCCCCCGAGGTCTATTCCTTAATGATCCCTTAAGGGATCTCAGGGGAACCCTCGGAGTCTCAGCCAGGTTGGCACTCCCTGGGCCTGGGGGAGCCAACCAGCCGCCTTCTCAGTTTCTGGGGTTTTAGGGTGTAGTGTTGAGGGTGTAGGGTTGAGGTTTCAGGGTTCAGGGTGTAGGCTTGAGGGTTTAGGGGTTTAGAGTTTAGGGTTAAGGGTTTAGGGTTTAGGGCAGTTTAGGGTTTAGGGTTTCAGCAGTTTCTGTTATTACCATAGGGTTTAGGGCTCACCGTAGGCCCAAGGGTTTGGACTCCAGGCTTAAGGGCTTAGGCTTGGCTGCCGGGTGTCGGGTTTATATAGGTTTCTTGTGGGGTTTAGGGTTTGGTGTTTGCGGTACGAGTCTGGGGTTGCAAGTGCTCCCTGCAGCCTTAACCCTAAACCCTACCCTACACCCTAAACCCTAAACCCTGAACCCCTAAACCCAAACCCTAAACCCTGAACCCCCAAACCCCCAAACCCGATACAACGAGAGGCTTTCCGACCTTCCAGGATGGTGCCTCACAAACCTGCGCTCCAAATCCAAATTCTTGGCCACGATCCCTGAACCCAAACCCGATGAGAAGGGAGCGAGGGAACTCTGAGTGTGTTGTCATCACAAAAACCCAAGCTTTGAGGCAGCAGGGTTCCGCCATCGACCAGCGAATGCTCGGGACTCGGACTTTTAGCGTTCTTGGTCTTTGTCTTGGCAAGGTCTTGGCCGCTAGGCGAGACGAGGTCGTGGTTGCACAAGCAGGGTGCAGGTAGTGTAGGACCTTGGTATGACGCTTTAGAGGCCTTGCTAGTGCATCGGTCGAATCAGTAGCTTATCTAGAGTCCTCGGCCAAAGCAATTTGTGTACAGTCAGCGAACCTCATCCTCACCGGTCTAGATGCCTATGAAAGACCTTGCCAGGGTCCCTTGATACAGAACAGGGCACGTCTTTGACAGCGGTCAATCAGCGTAATATAAAGGCCTAAATTACCAATACTAGTGTGGGGGTTGCTTAATACTGTTTAGCATACTGTACCCCAAAGCCCTATTTTTTTAAATTGAGGCCCGTATAGTAGGTGTGAGATGGATGCCTTCTGCGCCCATAGACCCTCCTGGCTCTCTTTAAAGGCACCTTATTGAGAGGGTCTGTCTCCCCGAGGGTCCTCCTAATCCTAACCGCTAATGCCAGGTGCTTATGCTGCATCCCCACTTTCGTCAGCGCCCAGTCCTCAGAGATCATTCGCGTTGCTATGCTGGATTTCCCGACAGCCGAGAGCTGTTCAGCAAACTGTTCCACTGGGGGAGCTGACTAAAGATCTGCAACAAAATATAGGGGCCGTAATAATTCGGATAGGGTTCTGGGGCCATATATACTATAAATATAATAAGGAACCCCCAAAATAGTATAGGTAGTTATTCAGACCTCTATATTGCAGCATGCAAGCATTCGATCAACCTTTCTGGTTTAGGATCTCTTGTAGCACTTCCAAGACCTTTTCTTGTTTCATGTGTACACGTTGGCAGACGAGGTTTTGCTAGAGGTGTAGGGCGAGGATTTGGTGCTCAAGGGAGGCCCAGGCAGACCCAAGCCTGATTTGGCATTTTAATCCTTGGCATGTCAGAAGGATCCAGGAATGAATGACCCGGAGAGAGCATCCCCATCATGCAATAAAATCCTTTGTTTCGGATTCATAACATCTCGGGCATGTGCGAACTCACGAGCCCCCTCGCTCCCTATACTTGAGACCCTGACAGCCCGTTTCGTTTCTACCGAATCTCTAAACCCGAAACTTTAAAACTCGCCGCGTGCCTGATCGCTTTAAGCCGAAACCCCAAGGCCCAATTGTTGCTCCCTACTCCCAGAATCCTTAAAACTTAAGCCCTACACCCGAGACCCAAACCCTAAGCCCTACACCCTAGACCCCAAACCCTAAACCTTACTGTAAACCCTAAACCCTAAACTCAAACCTAAAACCCTAAACCCTCAACCCAAAACTCAAACCCTAAACCTTAAACCCTAAACCCAAAACTCAAACTCTGAACCCCCTAACCCCCAAGTCACAGTGCCCAGGAGGAGCGAATCAAGGAGCTGCTCATTACTTTTGGGCAGCTGAAGTTCTATGCGCTTCAGAAGGACGAGGAGGGCAAATCCGTAGCTGGGCCTTGTTGGTTTCGGGCTGCGGGCTGTAAGGTTTGGGGTGGAAGTTAAAGGGTTTTGGGTTTGGTCTGTTGCTTCAGGGCTTTAGGTTTAGAGGTGAGGGCTCTAGGGCTGTTCGGTTTCTCGCTGAAGGAGTTACCACAAGCATAACCCTACTTAATAACCGACTATCTAGTGTAATTCCTGGCCTTCTGGACTACCACAAGCCCGGCTTCTTGGGGGCGTCCGGAAATATCGTAATAGCAGGGTTTCGATTATTCTAAGTCTATCACTCTTAAACAACAGTGAGCCCCATTTTGCAGAAACCACCGCATTGACGAGGGCATGAGGTGGCGCATGCCAGCAATTTTCTTGCTTCTCTTGTCTAAATCCAGTCCGGATCCCAAGCCCGAAATGGTAGTTTCCGAAAATGGGGGACCCTGATTCAGTACCCTAAATAGTAGGATCCTTATTATAGGGACCCCCAAAATGAGGTACCCTACTTTTCGGAAACTCTAAACCCTTATAGAGCCCCTTAAAGGAACCCTTATAGTACCCTTATAGTAACCCTTTTAAGGAACCCTAAGGTATCCCTAGTTTTCGGGAACTCCCCTGATCCCAAGCGCAATCGGTCAAGTAAGGTTGGTGTCGCCTTCTTCGAGTACCAGGATATGATGACTCAGCAGCAGGCGGGTTTTCATCTTCAGCCCAGAGAGCCCAATACCCCCTTAATTATTTAGCTTAAATCACAATATGAAGCCCTATACAATTTAAGCCATATTCTTTAATTAAGGGGTATTGGACTCTCTGGGAGTTTCGGGTTTCAGGGCGAAGACGCCAAAGAGCAGAATCTGAGGAATCCGCCTTGCGTTTTCGAGTTTTTCCATGAATGCCATGATTTGAGGGGTATTTCCTGAAGTATATCAGAGGTTTAGGGTCTGGGGTTCAGAGTTTCCCGAGAGCCTTCGGCACGAAGGCTCGATGCTCCATGCCTAGAACCGATCTCTCTAGGAAAGAAGGCATAGGATTTACAGTCTCGGCTTTTTTGGGCGCCAAGGGCACTTCTCACTGGCTGGGTTTTTCGGTACTGTACATTCGGAGTAAGAATGCTGAGGCATAATCTTGCAGGTTACATGATCCTAACGGAATCCGAACTACCCGACATTCGGAATGCCATGAATCGGATTTGCCCCAGCCCCAAGTTAGGCAGATGGTGATATTGTCGTCTCTCCAGCACCGCTTTCCTAAAGTGCCTAAAGTCACTTCAGCAAAGGAAGATGGGCCCGCCCTGAAGGTTTTGCCAGGGAGCTCAACAAATAGCACCTTACAAACGGACCTGCCGTAAACCTTGGGTACTGCCCGCACTTTGTAACAGTTGGATAACATATGCAGTTAAATTAATATACACACACATATATATATATACACACATGTATGTATGTATGTATGTATGTATGTATGTATGTATGTATGTATGTATGTATGTATGTATGTATGTATGCATGTATGTATGTATGTATGTATGTATGGAGAGAAATGTGTATGTGTAAATATGTATATATATATATATATATATATATATATATATATATAAGAATATATAGCTCTCAAAAAGACTCCAAAAGAGACTGTTAAAGCGCGGGGGCAGTACCCAACTTAAACCCTACACCCTGCACCCGCAACCCTTTGCCCCTAAACCCTAAACCCCTAAATCGCTAAACCCTAAACCCTAAACCTCGAAGCCCCTAAACCCTAAACTCTTAAATCGCCAAACCCTAAACCTCGAAACCCCGAAACCCTAAACCCCCACTTTACAAACGGAGCAAGACCCCGCTGTGAGGCTCGCGTGGCCCTCGAAGGCCTCGAGCTGGGTAGGGGCCCTTGATTGCCACAGTGCACATATTACACTAAATTTTATTTCATGAATTAAAACTTCTTGTTCTATCTATCTACCTATCTACCTATATGTATATATATATATATATATATGTTCTCATGTAACATAATGTACCATTCGCTATAACCGAGCTGCCAGCTGTCATGATTATTGTGCTTGCAGCATCAGTGGTCGCAGCAGGAGATTCAATTCATATAAGCATGTGGAAGCGCAGAATACCAGTAAGAATAAATAGAACCAGAAGAAGCCAAAAGATTGATGCAGCGGAGCAGCCGCACTGTCACCACACGTCGCTTCCCACTGCCAGACCACGCCAAGCCAGTGTCATGTTGTGAATGTTCTTACTCACCTGAAGCATGTCATGCTGCATGACTCCTCGAGATATCAATAAGCCCTAATTACATCCGAAATTCAAGGCCCTAAACTCCGGACGGTTCAGAATATTGGAGACCCCAATCGAGACCCTAACTTCTAGGATGCTTATGAATTTTGTAAGGACCTGAAACAATCTGGCCTTGGCTTTAAGAGCTCTCCTCGAGAACCCGTTTAGAACGCCATGACACCGTTATAAAGCGACCACCTGCCAAAACACAAGACCCTAAAGCTGTAACCCTAAACCACTGAAGCTGCTAGAGAACTCTAGTAGGACCATCCCAAACACAGCTCAGCACGAACCCCTAGCCCCTAAACCTTCACAAATTCCAACAGACCCATAAATCCTTATACATTCGAAGAGACCCCCACCTTATGAGCACCAAGGCAGTAACAAGCTCAAAGTGCTGAAGCCCTAAACGCTAAACCCTAAACCCTACACCCTAAACCCTAAACCTTAAACCCTAAACTATAACGGAAGTAAGCCCGAGGCAATAACAAGCTCAAAGTGCTGAAGCCTTATGAACCCCTCCAACCCTAAACCCTCACCTTCTGAGCACCAAGTATAATTACCCTAATTATAACCCTAGTTGCTAAGTCCCATGATCCCTTAAGTATGAGCACCGAGGCAACAACAAGCTCAAAGTGCTAAAACCTTATGAACCCTAAACCCTAAGCCCTAAAACCTTAAACCCACCTTATGAGCACCTTAAACCCACCTTATGAGCACCTTAAATCCACCTTACGATCCCGAGGCAACAACAAGCTCAAAGTGCTGAAGCCCTAAACCTTAAACCCTACACCCTAAACCCTAAAGCCTTATGAACCCCCCAGCTTATGAGCACCGAGGCAATAACAAGCTCAAAGTGCTGAAGCCGGATCAAGTCCTCGAGCTTGGCCTGGCCCTGCCCGGCTTGGTTTTCACTGCTCCGGCCTTTAGGGAAGCTTCCGGGTGTAGGGGTTTAGGGGTTTAGGGTTTAGGGTTTAGGGGTTTAGGGATTTAGGGGTTTAGGGGTTTAGGGGTTTAGGGTTTAGGGGTTTAGGGGTTGAGGGGTTTAGGGATTTAGGGGTTGAGGGGTTTAGGGATTTAGGGGTTTAGGGGTTTAGGGGTTTAGGGGTTTAGGGTTTAGGGGTTTAGGGGTTTAGGGGTTGCAAGGTTTCCAAGGTTTCTAGGGGGCGGCTAGGGTTTTTTGGTACAGACCGGCTCAGAGGGCTTGGAGGTCTTGCCCGTATAAGGATGCTGGGGTTGTTTTCATAAAGGGTTCAAGGATTCGGCAAGGTTGTGGGGTGTTGTTTGCAGGGCTTATATTCAGCCTAGAAGAGCTTAGAGAGCTAGTTTTGTTTCAGCATTTCTGCGGTTTTAGTGTGGGTCTTAGGAAGTGTAGTTAGAGTGTAGATAGGGCTTGCAGGGCTCACAAGGGTTGCTGCTCCAGGAAACCCGAAGCCTTAAACCACAAAACCCTGCACGTAATGTAACCCACTTTACTACACTACTTGGACCCTGGCCTCCTTGAGGAGTCAAGGATCTCCCAGCTTGCCTTCTAGGCTTTAGGGCTTCCTTAGTACACCCTAAACTCAAAGGGGAACAGGAGGGACCCTTAATGGGGACCCCTACCTGATAATGGGCTATATAATGGGTATATAATAGCTATATTAAGGGTATACCTAGGGGTCCTTATTAAGGGTCCCTCCTTTTACCCTTGGATAAACCATAAGGGACAGCCGAACGCTCGCAAGCCCTGAAGTGTTGCTATCTTTTAATCCTCGGAGCCCTAGTCGATTGGGTTTAGGGTTCAGGGTTAGGGGCCTGCGTGACTGGGTTCCCCAGCAGTGCCCTTTTGGAACTTTGTTTCGGATTCTTTTTTGTGTTAGAACCGAATAAATCCTAAACCCTGAGAAAAGGTTACCCTTAGTATTATTCAGGGGCTACTTGGGAACCAAGTTGAGCACATACTGGATTTGAGGTGTCTGGAACTGCAATCATCCGTGTCGGGGCATCCGCGTTGCGTGCGCCAACTAGATACTACCATGTAAGGGAGCTTTGTCGCTCCGACTCACCTGACGGACTGTTCATGCGCGGAAGCTCCGCGGAAGGGGTGCGGCCCGCTTTGGACTGTGGCGCGCGGAAGCTTGGACATCTTTGCACTTGCCCATCTCTGGCAGAACGGATGTTGGAATCGCTGAAGGTGTTTAACACTTCAACAGTCTATCAGGCAGAACTGAACGTGTTCAGAAAGCCATGCAGGCGGAGAATATGGCCTGATCTTAGACGGGCTTCCACAGTCTGTCCGAACACCCTTGTAACATCCTGCTCTAGAATTGGCGCTCATATCCTCCCGTGTTGTGTCGAGTAAACGCTGGTGGAAATCGACAACATGTTTTCATGTCTCTAGTATGCAGAGCTTTGCAAGCTCGTAGTGATGTTTTTATATTTCCAAAGGCACCGCAACGCAACATTGTGTTGATGGGGTGGTGTTGACGTTGAGGGAAATCAATACAGATTTTGATGCCTATGTTGGTGTTGACACTTACACGATGATGCACTGCTAGTAGCATTCCTTGTTGATAATGGCCAGTGGCTGCTTCTATTCAAAATAAGTGCTGGTGGTTACTACGCTAAGCTCGGAGCTCTTGTTCTTGGGCCGTGCGGGTGGAGTCAGCTTCTGGTGGTGAAGTGCATGAGCGCATGTTGTAACGCCAAGTACTCAGGATTCGTCAGACGCGCTTTTATGATGCCTCCTGCCTGTCATGAGAACCGGGTGCTTTTCTGCCGAAAAGCTCGTACTTCGCGTTCCCCTTGCGGCGACTGATCCCGCAGAAGTAGACTGATGTGTGCACTGGTATCGAACTTGTTCGGTATATCGTCATGCTGTCAATTGTGCGGCACATTGCGGCACGCGCGTGCGTTTTGTCTTCGCGTCATATGCTTGCTCACTTTGGGTGCCTGGAAGGCAGTCGGGGCGCATCTTTGGAGAGCATGTGCAGTATATGCACGGACCCACCACTCAGTTTTGCTTCAAGCTGTGTGCTGCTACGGCTGTCGGCCCACGTGCAATCGTACCGCCAGGTGACGATGCGCGTTTGGAGTTTATGGAGCTTTTATGCAACATTCTGCTTCTTCGTAGGGTGCATCAAGCCATGAGAGCCTGACCTTACAGCACAGCTCTCGTAATGTGGGAGCTTGAACGCCTGAACGCCTGCAAGCTTACTCCCGTGAACAACCTGCCAAGGAGGCTTGGAAGCTACAGGCCTAAACAGTTCACCTCATGTCGTTGAAAGTATAGGCCATTGAAGTCAGGCCTTCGAGAGCCCTTTCGCAGCTTTCCTCGATGTCTAATTAGTGGTGAAGTTGCCTTTGCAACTAAGTGCCATTCCGATCGCAACCCTGGTAGTGTAATCATGCATCTTGGCCCGTAGGTGACATCTTCCAGTCAAAGCTCCCCTGACCCCCATTCCGATGCCTCTGTGCCACAACAGAACCTGCCCCCCCATCAGCGACCTTGATCTGTGCAATGTCAGGATGGGACCCGCATCCAAAAGCTTGCCTTTGCCAGGTGAACAGAGAACAGAAGCTAGGTGCCCGTGTGGTGCCGACAAAGGTGTGGCACCCAGGAGATCTCGTTTGAGGTGTCAGGTCACATCTGGACGACGACCCTGGCGAAGCTTGGTGCGGCCGTAAGGGGGATGTAACATCTGAAACCTGTTGTTGCTACAGCGGTTACTAACTATTGTTGCTATTCTCATTGAGGCGGCCGCGGAACAATGCTCGCCTTGCGCAGCCTTGCGTAGCCTTCATTCTTGTCATTCTTACTATTGTGCAGTCTTACTATGTTTGTGGTTCTTGCTATCATTGTCATGCCAGCTGTCAGGGATCTTGTGCATCCACGCCAACTGGAGTGCTTCGCGTCGGCAGGCTGTCCTGTCCGCGGGGCACGATCGCAACGATGATAACAGAAAAGCCTGACCAGCTCCTTCCGAGGGTTTCCTAACTGTATCTGTTGCAAAGCCACCTCCGCATTGGTCTACCTATCTGGACCTCTATCTTAATGCCTTCAATGTGGCCCGGGAGCATGGAATCCCCGATCTTCAGCCTCAGTTTGATAATTTATCAGGAAAGTTTTTGCGTGGAGGTTCCATTTCACGCACCTGACTTGGAGGTTCTTGGGTAGTTATAAGTAGGGTTGAAAGTAGGTTATACTCATAACTCATATTAGGGGACTTATAGCTATACTTCTAACTACCCCTGAACCTCCAAGTATAGGTGCTGCAAGGACCTTCACGATTCTGATACGTTGAATCCTCCCTGCCCGGCCTTGCATTCCCAGTGCGTTTAGGCGTGTGCAGGCAGCGACCGCGACCCGATACGCTTTGAGGGTTGGGTGTTCGAGGTTCCTATAGATAAACCCTAAACCCTAAGCCGACGATAAGGTCTGTGAGGATTCATGTTTTGATGTTTTAGCGCAGTTTCCAGGTTTGAGCCTCCCAGGGTTTAGGGTGTAGGCTGCAGGGTTGAAATTGGGGCTTTCAGGGTTTAGGTTTAGGGTTTAGGGTTTAGTTTGGAGGTTTACTTACCGGTTTAGGGTTCACCGTTCGGCGATTCGCGGGGGAGGGCTTGCAGCGTAAAGCTCCAAGGGTTGCAGCCAGGGGCTTCTAGACTCGCTAGGCAATTGGGACATGTCATAGTCTTCCTAGTACCCTAAGCCCTAAATCCTGAACCCTAAACGGTTTAGGGTTTAGCGTTTAGGGTTTAGGCTTAGGAGGATCTGATTAACCCTAAACGGTTTAAAGTTTAGGGTATATTGAAGAGGATCTTATTCGCTAATCTTCTGCAGAGGCTTGAAAGGGCCAGCCTGGCAGACTTCTGAGCGGGGTTCGGCAATCATTCCTTTCAACTGCAAGCATAACAACCCAGGCTGGTTTCGCGCCCAAACTGTGCAGACCTGCTGTTCTTGCTCGTTCTGATGTTTTGGCTTCCTCTCTCGTGCTGTTTAGCCTCATCCGGTCAATCTTCTATCGTTACCAGCTTGACCCTAATCTTGCCTTTGGTTAGTAGGGAATGGAGGAATGGGGTACCATGCTTCCATTCCCTACTAACCAAAGGTATGTAATAAGCCTTAAACCTCCAACCAATGAGCCCTCCATCTCCTGCCAGAGCTCCATTGCCAAGGTTCTGTACCTGAAGAACATCGTAACTGCCGAAGACCTCGCGGACGAGCAGGGGTTCGCTTCGGGGCTCGAAGTTTGACAGGTGAGTTCAAACTTTTCGCAGTATAGTCGTGTGAAAATGTTGTTGAGCATGGTTGGCATCACAATCATACTATCGTATTCTGTTGTTGATGAATCATGTTCGTAGTCATCTTCACTAGTTATCATCGTCTTCACCATCATTATTGCCAATGTCATTATTCATAATCAGAGTCATTCTCATATTCATTATCATTACCACTGTCAGTAGCACTATCACTGTCACGATCTCTACCGTTGTCCGTACCATTGTCGTTTCAATTGTCATTGTCACGGGTTCTTACAGCGTGTTTTACGGCAGACGGCTCCTCCTTGAACCGCGCTTTCTTTGCAGACGGATTCTTCGGTTTCGCGGGGAACAGGGTTATACGAGCTTTGATGTGAAAGTGTTTTGGTTTGCCCCGTTTTGTCATTGTCTTGCGCCGGCTTGAGTATTATTACCCGACCTAGATGGGGTGTTATGGTGGATGGGATGCTGTGTTGCTATAGAAGCCTGAAAAATCACTGATGTAAGTCTTTGGGGCGATTAACCCCTCAAATCTCTAGCTTTTCAAGCCCCTACATTGGTCTAATATCCCTAAACTCTAAACCACCTAGAGCCCAAACTCTGAAACGGAGCTGCCCTACACCCTAAACCCTAAGCCCTCAGCCCCGTGGCTAGCTTTGGCCAGGTACACTGAAATCTGTGCAGACATCCGTCTCGAAGCTGAGAAGTTTGGCGCGGTTGTCTCCATCGAGGCTAGAAATGTAGTATGAGGGTACGACAAGGGTACCGCAAGGGTAGGAGAAGGGTATTAGAAGGGAATGTCAGGAGGTTGAGGGTTGGTGTGGGCGTAATCGAGTCGGAGTGTGCCTGTATAGTGCCTATACGACTAAACCCACCGAAACCCGGGTTTTTTTGTAATACAGATTTATTTTCAACCTAGATTTCCGGCTTGGGATCTGGTCGGATCCAGGCGTTGTTCTGTTTCCGTGCGTCGAGGCGTTTCCAAGGTTTGGTAATTAAGTTGCCCTGCGCTTAGGATGACTGTCAGGAGTGTTTGTAGCTTGCCCAGACTCTGCAGGGTGTTTTCGCGATTTTTCCGACGTTGCACGACTGTCATCGGCGAAGTATTCAGAAAACTTACGTCCTGACGACGCCTTTCATCCTAAGCCCAGTGCTGCGCCTTCAAACCTAAACCCTAATATCCAAAACCCCAAAAGCGTTAATCCCTTAACTCCAAGATCCGAAGTATTCCTAACCTTCCAGACCCTACGGTTGATGATATAAATCCTGCATTACCTTAAGGACCCTAAACTATGGGATTTTCGGTACATTCCTTATTATGGGTAATGCAGGATTTCTATCATCAACCGTAGTTCCCAACCGCAAAACTTGCGCAGTCATGCTTTTCAAGTACTTGGAGGTTCATGGGTAGTTATAAGTAGGGTTATAAGTAGGGTAACTATACTTACAACTCATATTAGGGGACTTACAGCTATACTGATAACTACCCCTGAACCTCCAAGTAACAGCACTGGCCCAGCACAACTACAGAAAGACATCTCCAAACACCCATTCGAAGAATTAGAGCCCCTATATCAGAGCCCTACTAAACCTTCATAGCCGTCAATACCGCCCCGACATTAAATCTTATATCGGAGCCCTACTACAGCTTCATCTTCCTCAGAGCGATATAAATCCCGAAACTCTGAACCCTACATCCCTGAACCCCTAAACCCCTGGGTAACTTCCTGCTGCTTTGCTGCGGAGCAGAGAAAGAAGCCATTGCACTTAAAAAAGAACAACCCTAAACCCTAAGCCAAGCCCTAAGCCCGAGGCCCTACACCCTGAACCCTAAGCCCCTTTAAGGCCTCATCTTCGTCAGGTGCCCCGTGGGGGCGGCTCCGGCGGTGGCGGCCCTGGGGCATTGAACAACGCGCTGCCGGCTCCTGCAGGTGGGAGAGGGGCTCAGAATTGGGGTTTTGTGGGTTTAGGGTTTAGGATTTTTGCGTTTAGGTTTTGGGTTTCGTGGGTTTAGGTTTTAATTGGGGTGTATATATAGGGTGTAGGGGTTTGCGGGTTGTTATAGGTTTTCAAAGGGGTTCTAAAGGCTGCAGGGCGATAAAGTGTTTTCAGTTCAAGTGGTTCAGTTTTTGTTGCAGGGTTTTACGAGTGTTAAATGAGTTCTATAGTCTATAGTTTTTGTTAAAGTTTCATAAGGGTGTTAGTTTGTAGTTCAGTTGCAGGGGTCTGACAAGGGTTCATTGAAGGATGCAAATTGAGAGAAATTCAACAACGACTCCAAGCCTTTACGTCGTGATGACGAGGTTGATGCGGTTCTCAGAGATGGAGATGATTATGCTAGTTGTTGGCTTAGTCAGTGAGTGTGGCAGTAGATTGGCTAGATAGTTGGTTGACTGGCTAGTTAGTTGGCTAGTGGGCTGGTTAGCTGGTTGGTGAGCTAGTGAGGTAGATCGTTAGTTAGTCAGTCAGTCAGCTAGTTAGTTAGCTAGCTAGTTCTTCGGTGAGCTAGCTTACCTAGTCAGTCATCTCGTCAAGTAGACATATAGATAGTTGGCCAGTCATTTACTAGTCCGTTGATTGGTTATCCAATGAGTTAGCCGGCTAGCTGGCTTGCTGGCTAGCCAGAGACTTGCTTCAGTCAGACTTCCACTTCTAAGTGGATATTATAGTGCCGGAGAAGATAAAGAAAAACGACGACGACAAAGATGGTGATGATAGTGGGAAGGATGGTGTTGCTGATGATGATGGTGATCGAAATGATGCCGCTGCTGCTGGTGGTGGTTGCGAGTGTGATGGTGATGATGATGACGATGATCTGATGATGATGCCTGCGACAAGCACCAATTGCCATAGTCCTCATAGCAGACGCCCTTTGAACCGCGGTACCAGCTATGCATGTGCACAGTTTGTGTAGCTCTTATGAAGAAAATGCCAGCGGCGCTGTCGTCTTCAGCTTTCTTACCCAACATGAGCCAAGGCTTCAGTTCAGCCGAGACGGTTTAGGAGTTAGGGAATTTGAGCTTGATGTTTTGTTCTCAGGCTGTAGGGTTTAGGGTGCGACTTTTGGGTTTGGTTCCGAGTGCTGTGGTTAAGTTTTTGGCTGCTTGCATGCAAAGCCCTAGATACCTGATACCTGTGAAGATGCTGTTCTCCGCCTTAGCCTTGGGTCCCTTCCTTTTTTCAAAGTGGGAAGTTGTGACAGACTCTCCTAACTCCAAACAACCCTGCAACCAGTTATCAGACGTCCATTTGGAAGCTCACCTGCACATGGAAAAAAAGTATTTGCCATATCGTAGAACAGGCCTGCGCTCTAAACCATAAACCCTAGGACCCTAAACTCCAAACCCTGAAACCGTAAACCCTAAACCTCCAGACCCCCAAACCCTAAAACCCGAAACCCTAAACCCGCTCGACTGATCCCGAAAAACCTCGGCAGCCCGCAGCCCGCAACTAACGGACATTCTACACTCTCGATGCCCCGAGCCCGGCCCCCAACCAACATGTATGTATGTGTATATATATATATATGTATATATATATGTGTGTGTATGCATGTAAGTAAGTAAGGGAGTAAGTAGTTCTGTATGTATGCCTGCATGCATTCCCGCATACATGCACGTGTGTGTAGATGTGTATGTGTATGTATATATATATATAGATGGTCACACCCCCCCATACATGTATAAGTGTACTTAATCTACACATGCATATATCCTCCGAAGGACCCCTGGCGCTGACCAACGCGGCCGCAGAGGAGCCCAAGGCGCAAGGGTTTCCAAGAGAACACGTCAGGGGGTTTAGGATTTAGGGTTTAGGGTTCAGGGCTCCAAAGGAAAGGAGAATCAAGAGTAATGTAGGAACCTGATTCAGAAACCCAGCGCCTCTGACCCCAAGATAGTCGAACTCATACAAGGAACCCAAGTAAACGCCCAGGGTTTCTCCGTGAGGCTCCTACATTAGGGTTTAGGTTTAGGCTGACAAAGACTGATAGAAGAAAGACAAGATCTAAGTAGTAGTAGTAGTAGTAGTAGTAGTAGTAGTAGTAGTAGTAGTAGTAGTAGTAGTAGTAGTAGTAGTAGTAGTAGTAGTAGTAGTAGTAGTAGTAGTAGTAGTAGTAGTAGTAGTAGTAGTAGTAGTAGTTGCGGATGTTCCTAAATCAGAAAAAGGAGATCTTTTTCGCTCCTGCAGACGGGGAAAGACGGGCGGTAGGAGTAGGTTGCAGCATGCAGACTCACATGATCGTCATGGGCGTTGCCATCCGTTGCTAGCGTTGTCCCCGCCTTCATCCGTAGAATCGTTTCCTAACCCTGCGCTGTTGTTCTGTAGGCATCATTCCTGTCATTGTCGTCACTTGCAATTTTGGCAGTATAGTCATCAGTTGTCGCTATTCTGAAGAAGTTCATGGCATTGGCTGACGCACCAGCCAAGTACGCAGCCCACAACCCAGTCATGCTGCCAACGCTTGCAATGGCTCAGAAGTTAAACCTTGGTTCAATCATCCCGTGAACCCCAAACCCCTCAATCCTGTCGGGCCCCTGCTCATGGCCCCCTCCTGTTTCAGACTCTACCCCAAGCCCCATCATGCAGCACGCCGAAGCCCCAGACTGTATATAATCAGCGTGCCGAAGAGCTCTAGGGTTTAGGGTTTAGGATTTAGGTTTTAGGGTTTAGGGCTAGGGTAGTCTTCAACAACTGTTGGGAAGGACTTCATGTACAGGCGACATCACATGCCCTGAGTTATAGGGTTTTGAGACCCGAATCTCTGATCCTCACCTTACCCGCCAATTTGAGGCCCGATGCCAATCCGGAGCCCTGAAACCTTAAATCCCAACACCTTATCTGTAGGTCCCCAGCGTGCACCTTCATTCCTTGGATTCCTTTGCCCCCACCCCCCCTAAACAACTGAACCCTACACCCCCATGCAACCCATATACCCAAAAGCCTGAACTCCATACACCCCAAATCCTGGACCCTTAGCCCTAAACCGTAAAACAAAAAAGCCCTTAAAGCGTGAACACCCTTAAGCCCCAAAGCCCGAAAACCCCAAGCCTAGAACCCTAAACCCTAAACCCCCGAACCCTAAACCCTAAACCCCTAAACCCAAAACCCCTAAACCCCTAAACCCCTAAACCCTAAACCCAACAAACCCTAAAACCCTCAACCCTAAACCCTAAACCTCAGGACCCTACCTTAACCCGGAATAACCTACCTTTTTAAGGACTTATACAAGGAAATCATAATAAGGATCCCTAAAGAGGTAGGTTCCCAAGCCGCCATCTTGCTGTTTTCAGTCCACGGCACCCGCGGCGCTTCCGGCGCCCACGCTGCCGGAGCCCAGCGCATGTTCGGATTTCGGGGTTGTCGGTGTAGGGGTGGGGTGTTTAAAGGTGTTAAGGTTTCAGGGCTCAGTGTTTAAAGTTTAGGGTTTAGGGTTTAGGGGTTTAGTTTAGGGTGTGCTTCAAATAGATTAGGGTTTTGGGGGTTAGGGCCTTTTAAGGGGTTTTTAATCATAATCCAAGATCGACGTTCAGGACTGGTCGGTAGATATGGAGGCCTGTGCCTCGTGATTGAAGCCAGCTGAAAGATCAGCGGCGAAGACCAGGAACATCCAAGGGCTAAGGAAAGTGTTCAGAAAACTCCTTCCCTAAACTCTAAATCTCAAAACCTGAAGCCCTGCAGGGTTAAGCCTGAAATCCTCAGCCACAGACTCTGAAGCTGTAAACCCTAAACACTGAGCCCTACTTGGAGGATCATGGGACTTAGTAAGTAAGGTTATAAGTACCTTAATTGGGGTTATAAGTCTAGTTACCCTAATTATAACCCTAGTTACTAAGTCCCATGATCCTTTAAGTAAACCCTAATTAAGCCCTAAAGCTGCCAAACTCTAAACCTTGAGCCCGTCATCTTTCCAAGTCTCCCACGCGCTTAGCAGCAGCCCTCGGCGTAACATGGGTCCGTAATAGGGTTTAGGGTTTAGGGTTTCGGATGGGGTTTGGGGGTATACCTGGTATAGCTACAAAGGGACTTTAATGAGATGCTGGACACTATCATTAATCGGTTCCCCCGGTTGTTACGGCTGTAGGACTGTCGTGTGGCTCTGGAAGGGTTTTATCAGGGCGGGTTCTACAAGTCTATAGGTCTTCATACGGAGTCATCGGGTTTGGTTCCCTAAACCCTAAAGCCTAAACCCGAGGTTTAGATGGTGTTAGAGGGTGGAGGATAGAAGTCAGGCAGATCCGGGTCTTGCGACTCCTCGAACTCCCAATCCTCCAGCCCTCTGTCCCTGTAGTACCCTGAGCTCGAACTCGAAGCATCGCATTTCTGTTTCCCGAAAAAAGCCCTGCCCTGCAAACCTATCTCCCCATGGATCCCTTTATCGAGAACCCTAAACCCTAAACCCCTAAACCCCTGAACCCTAAACCCTAAACCCCTAAACCCTAAACCCTAAGCCGCCCTGGCTCCCTTTATCGAGAACCCCCCTGAACCCAAACCTGAGAGGACCTGTCGATGGCCCTGGTGCCCATTGGCGGCCAGCTTGCCAAGGTGTCGAGGGTTCGTGGTCTTGGGTTTGGCGTGTTCAGGGTGTGGAGTTTTTCGGCTATAGCTTTCGACGGTGAAGATGGAGACCCTTGACCTAGAGCGGACTTGACGGTCTTGACGGTTCAAGCTACCCCGAAACAAATCTTCCTTGAGAAGATTTCAGGAAGGTTTTTCTCAAGCCGTTGGGTGTTTGGTTCGGTGCTTGAGGATAGCTCAGAGTTTCAGGTTTCAGTCCCGACTTGAGGGTTGTTAGAGACATATAGCAGCATCTCGCTCCCATGGTTTAAAAAAAGGTCCCGAACCCTAAACCCAAAGCCCACACCTTCTATAATCTAACCTTAAATCTTCGGGGCCTTGCTCTGTCACGTACGGCTGAAGTTCGCTTCTGGACATGTTCAGTACGTATGATGAGTATGATAAACTAACATTCTGATTATGACGAGTGTTGGCACTAGTATGATGGCCACTCTGAGTCTTTCCTGTTCTTCTTATTACCATCGAAAATATTTGTTCTTGTGATTACCGTCACAGCTAGTTATTCTCCGAATATCTGATGATGGTTGCTGCTTTATTGCAGCTTCTATTTCGATTGCTGTCAACATTGCGAGTAGTATGACCTCGACTGCGACCCCAAACCCCACCCGGAACGGTCAAGGACTAGTTCTGTAAATTCGGGTTCTTTTATAAGCGTGCCGTACGTTTTTGGGGACCTAGAAAGGGACCCTGGCTTAGATGAGCAAGCTATGATTTGAGGTGATCCGTTTCGTCCAGACTTCGGACCCCATCTGCCGAATATTGTCAATGAAAGGAACCCTCTCCGAGTCGCTAAATGCGCACGCATCGGACACAAGAAAAGTCAGAGTATGACGCGCGAATAGGAATTGCATCGGTAATCCTGTACATCATCGTGGCAGTACGAAGATAATTAACACTTGTCACAGTAAGGCTAGTGCTTGATATGCTATGAGTCATCACAGCCGCAGAAAGCAAGGGCACAATCAACACCCACGCCAGCTAAACCGAACTGGGGTTTCACTCCACACTGGAAACCTCAGAACTGCAACTCATTTTCTGAGGCTCCTTGCAGTCTAGGGCTTAGGGTTTGAACGCCTGGGCGCTACTCTGCACCCTCTGCCGCTTCCTGCATACCATCTCGTTTCGTACGGTCTCTAAACCCTAAACCCTAAACCCAAAGCGTCCGAAACCCTGAACTCACCTTCCCCAAGCCTCTTTGACTCAGCCTGGGGGTGCGGGCGGCGGCGGCGGCGCCAGAGTCCTAGGAAGTTGTTTTTTTTGTTTGTGCCTTTTGCTGTTGTTTTAGAGCCGTTGTTAAGTCTTTTCGAAGTGGCTTTGGGCGTTTTGGGTGTCTCGTCTTGGGTCTTCAGGATTCAGTTTAATTTCGCTCAAGCTTATCTCGAATCGATGCGAGCTATTGGCTGGCCTTGGGTACGGCCCCCACTCAGTAATAGTTGAATAATATTCATAATATAGATATAGTAGGACCTTAATAGTAGCCCTATTATAGACTCTTACTGTATGGGGGCCGTACATAACATATTCCAATCAAGGCCAGATGAAGCTGGAGGACCTGTTCCTCGACTACTTACGTGCTGGAGATCCCCCCAAAACCGTGTTCTAATGATTAAGGCCCCTGGCAGAGGGCACAGGGCTTCAATCTTCGACTGCGAAGCTCATCTCCCCGGCTCGGTTTTTTCCTACGACAGTAGGGGACCCTAATATGGTACCCTAGATGGTAGGATTCTTGTTATAATAAGTACCCTAGATTGTAGGGTAGGATCCTTTTTATAAGGACCCCCCAATAAGCGATCCCAAATTTTCGGAAACTCCCCTATCAAGCCGGCTTGAGTCTGATCACCCATCTCAGTGAAGAGCTGCCAGCTAGCTAAACAATGCTTTTGATCTGTCTATGTACAAACACTCGCAGGTACCTACGTACCTACCTACCTGGCTACCTGCCTACCTATCGACCTACCTACCTACCTGCCTACCTACCTGCGTACGCATGTACATATACACATACATTTGATAACCACACATCCATCCATCCATCCATCCATCCATCCATCCATGCGTGCATGCATGCATGCATACGTACGTACATACATGCATGTCAGTTTATATGTATACACACATACACTTCTATACACAAAAGTCATATGCACACATGCACGCATATGTTGGTACGCCTTAAACCCTCCACCAGACATACGAGCACCTTTGCGGTCATTGCGCTCGCACACCAAACCTCAAACCCGGAACATAGCTTTCTCCCTTAGGGCGGTGGTGCCTCTGGCCCAGTGGATCCGACTACGCCGGGCTTTGGCACGGGACCGAGGAAGACTTGCTTGCTGCTTGCTTTCGGTTCTTCCCTTCGCCCCAGTCGCCCCGATGGACCCGAATTCCAAAACCGAATCCTTACTTGGGAGTTGCGAGTGTCGTTCTGACAGGCTCTGCTTCGATATGGGTGGGGTGGGCGTGGGGTTAGAGCTGAGGGTTGAAGATCCAGCATTTGGAGGCTAATGGGCTGTTCACGCGGACTTGCATGCGCTTCGATCCGGCCGAGCTTCATGCTCTAAAAGGGCTAAGCCTTTCACCTCCTTGGGGATTGTATCTTTCGGGGCTACTTAGAGGCCCAGGGGACTTAACAAGTAGGTTATAAGTAGGCTTACAAGTACCCTAAGTGGAGTTACCCTAATTAGATCCCTACTTATAGCCGACTTACTAAGTCCCCTGGGCCTCTAAGTAGGAGACCCAGTCGCCGAGTAAACCTCTTCAACTCGAGCCAACCCTCGAGCTTCCGCACAAAATCGACACGAGCCCGCACTCTTGGATCCTAAATCTTACAGGGAAGCCATCCCAAAACTTGGACCTAAACCCTAAGGCCTTAAACCCTCCTTGTTCAACCGATGGAACCCTATGCCCCTGAAGTTCCCGAAGCCCAGAAGCTCCGTAGCCGAGGCTATGCTTTCATCGAGTTTGCCAACATCGAGGTTGGATACTACAGGGATTTGGGGGGTTTAGGGTTCTTTGGATCTAGGGGTTTAGGGTATTTTTTGATCTGGGGGTTTAGGGATTTGGAGGTTTAGGGTTCGTTGGATCTAGGGTTTAGGGTTTTTTGGGTCTGGTGGTTTAGGGATTTAGGGTTTACGGTTCTGTTGCTCTTTAGAGGGTCTTGCAGGGATTTGTTTGGTGGGTTTTGGGTTCAGGGTTAAGGGGTTGCGGATTTAGGATTTAGGTTTAGGTCTTGAGGCTTCAGGGTGTAGGGTTTCGGGCTTAAAAGGTACATGGGGGTTTAGGGTTTAGGGTTGGCGTGTTCCATGGAGTGCTTCGCCGGATGCTACCTCAGCTGGAGCTTGCTGCTCCCCTTAGACCCTGAACCCGAAACCCTCTAGCCCTACAAATCCTGGAATTACCTGGCCCTCCCTAAACCCCAAACCCCTCCTGCCCCCTTTACGAGGGGGTCCGAGTCGAAGCACCCTAAACCCCCTAAACCCCTACACCCCGACACCCCTACACCCTAAAACCCTAAGCCCTAAATGCTAAATCCTAAGCAATTTCTGACCCAGGGCGCCTCAAAGGCGAAGAAGGCCCTGCACGGCCGCAGATTTGGGCCGCTTGGGCGGCAGTCTTGGCTGTAGGGTTCAGGTTTAGGAGTTTGTGAAGCATCGTGGCTGTAGAGTTCTGTCTGGCCTGCAAGGAATGAATGGACTTTGTGCTTGATGGCTTCAGATGTTTCAGATTTTCGGCGCAAAACTCTATCGACCCTATAAATTTGCTGCACCCCAAAGACCCGTGAAGGCCATGGTTTTCCCGGTCTGTGGCCAAAGAAGGGTGTTGTCAAAATCCCCCCTAAACCCTAAACCGGCCTACCTTCTCTGTTCTTGATGTTGACGGTTTGGGGTCTGTCATCTGAGACTACAGCAAGATACTCCTTAGCAATCTCTTCTTGCGGCTTATACATGAGGAAACCTACAAAACTTAGACTATGGTGGTTTCGAAGCTTGGAACCGAGAAAGATAGTTTAAAGATGTCAGGTTCTGCGATCTGAACACGCCCCAACCCAAAGACCTCACCTCTAAACCCTTGACACTTACAGTAGAAGCCAAAAAGTTGGAAACCCAATAGCCTCAATCCTTAAGAGTCATGTATAGGGAGTCCCAGCACTATTTGGCCTTAATCCGGTTTCCAACTTTATGGGGTTTACTGTAATTCATAACCCTCAAGCCTAACCCGGACACTAAACCCGGAAACCCTAATCGCTAAACCCTAAACCCCGAACCTGTCGGCCTTCAAAGAGACGCCGAGCCGAGCCAGGGCCAACAACGTGGAGGCCGAGCCGGGTCCCCAGCAGCTTCTGCCAAGGTCTAGGTCGCGCCCAGTAGTACCTTGCTGCCCTTTTACTTGTTTTTTCATAGCTGGGTGGCCTTTTGCATGTTTCAGGGTACTTTAAACCCAACAAGGAGTGTGAAATTCCAATTTTTAATACTACCCCAACCATGAACTAGTTATGGCGTCTCCTTATCTTGGCGTTCTTCTGGTGGGCTCTTTAGACTTTAACTTTTTGGGTTTCTATATAACTATAATAAGGAGGCTAAAAGTTTAACTTTTAGGAGGGGTTCAGAAGTCAGCCAAGTTATCATTAAAGGGAACTCCAGAAAGTTGGAATATGGAGTAATGGTAAGATCCCCTATAATTTACCTTAAAGGGGTTACGATAATGATATTCCAACTTTCTGGCTACAAAGGAGCCTAGAGGTTCTTAGCTGCTCCTGCCCGTGGCGTTCGGGCATTAGGGGTTTGGGGGGTTTAGGGGTTTGAGGGTTCAGGACTTGGGGTTGAGGGTTTAGGACGTAGGGTTGAGGGTTTAGGACCTAGGGTTTGAGGGTTCAGGACTTAGGGAGGAGGGTTTAGGGTTTTGGGTTTATGGTTTTAGGTTCAGGGTTTAGGGTTTTGCGTCGTGGGGACAAGGGCTCAAGGATGTTTTTGTAGGGCAGAGATCTGGATCAGAGCTTCGAGATTAGATGCCGGAGGTATCTGCACCCCAAAGTCGCAGTCCCTGACATCCCTCATAAAAACAGCCGTAAACTCTCAACACCAAGCTGAAGACAGAAATCCTGAATCCCGAACTCCGAAAACGCAAATCCGTATCTCCGGTTCCAAAGCCTCAACCAACATCCGAAAGCCGTGAACCTTTTCAACCCAAAGCCCTAAACCCTAAGCCCTAAGCTCATTAAGTCCCCTGGGCCTCTAAGAAAGTCTTAAATCCTAACTCTAAACCCGGAGCCCTAAACCCTCGTGCTCTGCTAAGGTTCTTCTCAGAAGACAAGTACTACGCCAAGGACTTCCTGAGGCACCAGGGCCTCTGGTTTAGGGTTTGGGGTTTAGGGTTGAGAGTTTAGGGGTTCAGGGTCCCTAAACCCTAAACCCTAAACCCTAAACCCTAAACCGTTCAGGGTTTAGTGGTTCAGGGTTTGGGTTTAGGGCATGCCCCAAGGAACTCCCAGTCATACCCGTGTTCTATCAGATCTGGTATAATGTACGTAGATGCCTGGAAAGTTAGAAGGATTGTCCCTTGTCTTCAGTCCCGACTATATGTACATTTGTATCGTATACTCCGAAACCTTATTCTAATCATTCAGGAATTTTTCGGCACCCCTGGCATCTAACATTCCCTACAGCATCGGATATTACACGGTAAACCCTAAACCCTAAACGTTCATGTCGTATGACCGTTCATTTGGTCTCATACGTCTGTGCCCGGAAATTCGCATGCAGTTTAGGGACCATGGTTTAGGGCGGGCTGCAGGGTTTATCTGGGGCTTGATGGTTCATGGCTGGGGCTCTAGAATACTCGGTTTAGGGTTTAGGGTTTAGGGTTTTTAGGATCCAATTCCAAGATAGACCTCCGGCAGCGAGTATCCCCAAGCCCTCAATGCTGCCTCAAAGCTAAAAGCACTGCAAACAGATCCTTTTGAACCGATACCCTAAACCCTAAGCCTTAAACAGTCAACCCCGAGGCCCTAACGACCTTGTAGGCCGACTCCGAACATCGACGAGCCGAAACGGGAAATCGGCATGGAGCTGGCGCTCGTCGGGGTGCCTCCGCGCGTCTTTGTATCCCTAAACACTCAAGCAGGGATGTCTGGGGATTTTCTAGGCTTGCAGCTGGATTCTGTTTCAGGGGCTAGTGGCTTTGAAGTGCTGACAAACCGTTTTGAAACCTCGGCCTCGCATCCCAAGCCAGCGTACGCCCTGCGTTCGAGGTTTGTTCCTTCAGACGTTTTTTCCGTGTAAAAGCATGTCTTTTCCTTGAAGGAACATGCTTAAAGCTCTAGCTTTCAGGAGCTGTGGTGGTGTGCCCAGATTTCATGACCTGGGGTTCGCCCACGGTCATTCTGCTAGGACCTTTACACCATCTACTTTTTTTATCTGTCTACCTATTTTAGATGTCAGAGTTTCTCAGCTGCTTTTCTAGCTAGCACCAGGGTTCTCTCTTATGCATCGATGTAGAAGCATCAGCTGCCCACGGTGTTTTTGAATGGGATCAGCTCTCCGGTATGAGCAAGAGGTCGTCCAGTTTCATTGTTTCCCTAGTAGTAGAGTAGGTAACCTTTAACCTTTTTTGGGTAGTCTAGCCCCTATATAGGCCCTATATAACCAAAAAGGTTAACCTTTAGTTCCCCATGATACCCGACAAGTAGGTTCCTGAAGTCCATCCGCAAGCTCGCGGGAGTTCCGCCACTGCTTGCGAGACAGCTTGAAACTAGATGCTGGTGGATCCCTGGTGCACAGAAATGAAGGAACTGCTACAACTTTGCCTCAAGCGCCCTAAACCCTAAACCCTACGGGCGCATACGTCTAACCCTTAACAATAATAACCCCTACAGAAGCCCTTTATAGTAACACATATTATACCAGGTCTTAAATAATAGCCCCATATAGAAGCCCTTATAGTAACACATATATTATAACTAGGTCTTATACCTAAAGCTGAAGCTGCAGAGATTGAGCGTCAAACCCTCTGCCAGGGTGGTGGCGATGCGCTGGACGAAGCGCCTGTAGGGACCTGAGAAGCTTCCGCATGGGCTCAAAGTCTAAACTTTTCTGGTTTAGGGGTTCAGGGTTTAGGGTTTAGGGTTTCAGGTCCAGGATTTCGGACTTCGGGACACCTGCAGAAGTCGGTTTTCATGTCTAAAGCTTTAGGGTTTATAGTGCCACTTAGAAACTACGAAGCCACGCAATCCGAATGAATACGGCCTCTGCGCCAGCTCCCAGATGGGGAGCAGCCTTTGTTGCCGGGGTTTGGGTTTAGGCCATAAGCAGGAGCATGGATCGCAGAATCCTAAAATCTGCCGCGCTAAACTCGAATGGCCGAACGCCGAAATCCAAAACCCAAAACCCAGAACCCTAAACCCTAAGCCCTCCCAACCTGAACAGTGACCCTACAACTAAAGCCCTGCAGGCCTCGAGATCCAAAGCCATAGGACTTAAACGTTCTACATACATCCGAATTCAAGAGTAATACTAACAATGTTAATAATAAAGTTATCAGTATAGTCACAATAATCATAAGAACATCGAAATACTCATCATAGTCATGATGCAAGTAATGAGGATAATAAACCCCACTTCAAACCGAAAGCTGAAGCTCCGAAGCCCGAGCCCGAGAGCAAAATATCCTAATCCCTGCCAGCGAACTGTCAGGGCCCTTTCGTCAGGTTCCTGAGGTTGAGGGTTTAGGGTTTAGGGATATAGAGGTTCAGGGTTTAGGGTTTAGGGATATAGGGGTTTAGGGGTTCAGGGTTTAGGGTGTCTGCGGAGGGCAACACCAACGAATCCGTTGTGTTTGACAAGGGGTTTCGGGGGGTTGCATAAGAGTGTATCGAAATCCACCCCCCCGAGACCAGCATCAGGATGATAAGCGACCCACTCACCGCCTTACTGACGAAGCCCTCAAGGTCATGGTCGAATAGGCTTCCTTTCCCGGCCTGGATCTCGGATCTTTAGATGACGATCGTGAGAGAGTGATCCGACTCGGATATGGGAGTCTCAAACAAAATTAGGGTACCTTTATTCGGGGTTCCTTACAATAAGGATCCTCCTATTTAAGGTGCTATTTCAGTCCAAGGGTAAAAGGATAATAAGGACCCCTAGATATATACCCTTACTATAGCCATTATATACCCATTATATAGCTTCTAAAAGGGTAGGGTTCCCCATTAAGGGTCCCTCCTGTTCCCCGTTGATTCAGGGTCCCCTATTTTCGGAAGCTCAAATATCTTGGGCATCTTCGCCTGTGAGGTTTGGATCGGTGTTCTTGAGGTTTTGGGGTCGGGGCGGATTCTTATGACTATGACCATGATGGTTCTTATGATTATTACTATGATGATTACTATGGTTATTGCTGTGATTACCCAGAAAACCCAATACCCCTTAATTAAGGAATATGGCTTCATATTATGATTTAAGCTATATTCCTTAATTAAGAGGTATTGGGGCTCTCTGGGTAGGGCTTAGGGGCAGTCTACCTGGAGCTGCGGCTCTGGAGCCCGTAGTTTCTTGAGGTGATTTTCTTCAGGACATCGGACTTTGGGCTCGAAGTGTGCGGGCATTACAGATGGGCGTGTCGAAAGAAGTTGGTGCCGGAAGGGGTGGGTATGGGAGTTTCCGAAACTAGGGGTACCTTACCTGGGGTCCTTATGATAAGGATCCTACTAAAAAGGGTGTACTATATCAGGGTCCCCTATTTTCGGAAACTCCCGCATGTGATGTGCGAAGTTGAGGGTCCTCCTGGTTTCACTACGGAGTTCGGGGTAGCATCTACGTGTCGGACTAGACCTTCTCATTAAGACCTCATCCCCAGAGAGCCCAAGGGGCCCCTTAATTAAGGAACATGGTTTAAATTATATAGGGCTTCATCTTATAATTTAAGCTATATTCCTTAATTAAGGGGTATTGGGCTCTCTGGGTCCACAGGCCCCCACTGAAACGCCCTCCGCATCCTTGATCAGCTCTCGAGACAAGCGTGCCTTGCGTCCTGGGTGCTGAACCTTGGGGGAGCTCGTCGTCTGTAGCTCGCTCTACATAGTTCCATATCGGCTTTGCGCACATATGAATAATCTACAACCGTGCACGCACATATAGATAGACATGCGCACAGGCAACGTGCTGCAGCTGAGCCCCGTCGCAGATAGACAGACTGACAGAGGGGTACACAGTATGCCAAAATCATCATATCTTTCACGAACTGGTTGACCCCGCAGGTGGCTCGGATTTTCCGCCCACTGAGAGGAATGAGAGGCTTTCTGCACAATGTGAGAGGCAAGGGTCCAATCCCCTCCAAGAAGAATTCTTCTTCTGGATATCCTTACAAAAGGCATGGCCTGATGATAAAATGCCTAGCGATCACTGGCGATCATTCAATTCCATCGCCGTCGTCGTCAGCGTCGCAATCGCCACCATCATCACCACCAGCATCATAATCAGCACCACCACCACCACTACCACTATCATAACCGTCATCATCATCATCACCATCATCATCACCGTCATCACCGTCATCATCATCACCATCATCATCATCATCACCATAATCACCATCATCACCATCATCACCATCATCACCATCATCACCATCATCGCCATCATCACCATCATCATCACCACCATCATCATGACTATCATGATCAGCAACACTATCGTCATCTTCACCATCGACAGTACATGATTATCATCATCATCATCATCATCATCACCACAACCATCATCCTCATCCTCATCCTCATCCTCATCCTCATCCTCGTCCTCGTCCTCGTCCTCGTCCTCGTCCTCGTCCTCGTCCTCGTCCTCGTCGTGGTCGTCGCTCTCTTGATACTTCCTCGCCCTCGTCGCTATCTTGATAGCCATAACCGCAAGACGCGTGGTGGTCACAGTCGTAGTGGTAAGCAGTGGTAGAAGCCATCGTCGTCGAAGTTGCCATCTTCGTCGTTGTCGTGTGATAGCATCGGTGGCATGACAAGGTTAGCAGTACAACCAGCAAAGAGCCAAGTTCAGGAATTGGACCCTTGAGGGTTTAGCTGAGAGCCTGCCAGGCGATGGTGGCCCTTAGGCTTCTGAGATAGTCGCCCCTCTGTAGCTTAGAGCGAGGATGGCGAGCAAACGCTAGGGCGGGCAACATTCAGGAAGTCCCGCCGGTAGTCCAGGTGGAGCTTATTTCTGCATCACGAAGCTCACTGTGAGCACAGAGTGAGCACATCTGTGCCGATCCGAATCTTGTTTCGAACCTGATGTCAGAGCACCATCCGAAGTTTCAGACACCTTGGACCCCGAAGCCACACCCTAACCCCGAACCCCCCGCACCCCAGCCCCTCCACCTGCAGCCATCTGCAACCAAAAAACTCAGGAGTGAGCGCGCGCTGACCGGCAAAACAACGACCAAGCTCTTCACCATAGCATCCTCCGGGCAGTATGCATGAACTGCTAATCTATGACTATAATAGAGTTCAATATAACAGTATAATATTGTTAGGTACTATGGTGTATTATGATATGTCATTACATAATATGACAATGATGATTAGTAATGCTATTCTTATTAGCCTCATCACTGACATTAACAGTGTTCAGCGGCTAGCATAGAAGCCTAAATAATTTCTAACATTTTTCTTAGGGTTCCCTATCATAAATATACCTGAAAATGTCCCCCAAACCCCTATTCTGATTGTTAAGGCTCCTCCATTACAGCTATGAGCCTTACACCGCAGCGAAGAGGCACCAGGCCACCAGCTTGCTTGAATGAAATGAAATCTTCCCCTAAACCCCGAGCTTGAAGCCTAAACCCTGCTTGGAGGCCCAGGGGACTTATTTCGAAGGGGAAAAGGAGGGAGCCTGAATAAGGACCCCTAGGTTTATACCCTTCCTATAGCTACTATATACCCATTATATAGCTAATTATAGGGTAGGGGTCCCCATTAAAAGGGTCCCTCCTTCTCCCCTTTGATTATTGCGCTGCTCTGGGGTTTCTGACTGGCTGCCTGGCCTCAGAGAGCCTCAAGGGATACTGTAGGAGCCTGGTTAAGAAACCCTGGCCTTATAACCCCAAACATAGCAGGGTTCAGGCTCCTACATTACTCCAAGTACCGAGGTCTGGATAGTTAGAATAGGGTCTAGGACCTGTCATACTACCAGCTTAGTAGCAAGACTTAGGGAGCAGTATTGGAAACTGTTGTTAGGCCATTGGGACATTGTACGTTTTTGGAGTATTGGGCCTGGGAGGATCTTATCAACGAATACTTGTCAAAGGCTGCTATATAACCCCTAACCCTAAAACCCTTCTTTTCTTCCTTATCGCTAGACCCTAGCCCCTAAAGCCCTAAACCCTAAAACCTGGCTTTTCTTCCTTGTAGAGGCTCAAGGAAGGGTCCAACGGAGTGACCCAAAGTGGGAGTCCCTTACAGGGCAGAGGCCGACAGAGTTCAGGATTTTAGTACTTCGGGTTGAGGGTTTTGGGGTTTTAGGGTTTAGGGGTTCAAGGGTGTAAGATTCAGCAGTTTGGGTTAAGGATTTTGCGATGTTCGATGGATTCAGTGTTTAGCTGAGTTTAGGATTCAGTCCCTGCGCTGTAGGGGCTCCCGGCGATGTTTTGGAGGATTTTAGGTTTGATGGAATCAGGAGTGTTGTGCTGTAGATTTAGAGTTTGGAGTTTGAAGGTTGATAGTTTAGACTTGAATCGTAAGTGTTTTGTAGCGTAGCTTCATCGCTTTGAGGAGCTTGGAGAGGGCTTGACTGGGAGAGTATACACACGCGGTCTCCACAAGATTCGCAATCGCCAGCAGAAGAAGGAGGAGACGAAGAAGAACAATAATAATCATAAGACTAGCAACGACAGCCACCAACACCCAACAAGTTACGCGACCACATCCAACAGTAGCAACGCCACCGCGAGGCAGAGGGAAGAGAAATACCAGACGTAGGAGTGGTTGTAGTGGTGCGAATGATGGTGGTGATGGCAGTAATATAGGGGCCTTCGTAGTTACCAGTACTATTTTGGGCGTTCCTCGTTTCAATCATAGTACAATGGGCCCCCAGACCCTATTCTAAGTATCATTGCCCCGATAGTATGTCGTAGAAGCAGCAGTCGACGGCCGTCAGCATCATCATCAGCGTCGTGCCCAGCATCACCATGATGATGATGCTGGTGATGATGAGGCGATCGCACCAGGCGGCAGCCCTTGCTGCTGACGATAGTACTGCTGATGATGACGAGTGACGATCATCGTTTTCATCATGTCTAGCCACCTTGCTGTTCCTTCGTCATCGTCAGGGTCATGGCAATCGTCATCCCCATCTTCACCATCACCATAATTATCATGATCGTGCACGCCATGGTCATCGTCATCATCATCATCGTCATCACCTCATCATGATCACCATCATCAACATGACTATCATCATCATCATCATCACCATCATCACCATCATCACCATCATCACCATCATCATCACCATCCTGGTGGCCATTGTGTCGTCAACAGCAGGTTTATCAAGCCAAGCATCAGCTCATACTCTCATACCTTACCTTTGGTTAGTAGGGAATGGAAGAATGGTAGTAATAGTAGTCATAATCGTACCCCATTCCTCCATTCCCTACGAACCAAAGGTAAGATACTGGTAGTTCTTCCGGAAGGTTGCGATGGGGCGGTGTGCCTGGTACGGTGCTCAGAGGGTTTCCGGTCGAAGGTCCTATAGCTTGGCTTGCAGGAATCGATCTTCCTGCCGCTGAGGGAGAAGATGCAGGAGTTTTACTTGGACGGTCATGGGACTTAGTAAGTAAGGTTATAAGTACCTTAACTGGGGTTATAAGTAGTTATAAGTAGAGTCACCCTAATTATAACTCTAGTACTCTAGTTACTAAGTCCCATGATCCTTTAACTACTTCAACCTCAGGTTTCAGCCCAAGGTTCCGGGCACGGGACGAACCTTGCGGGCAGCAGGGTATCGTGTCATGTCGCGCGGCCTCGATGCGATCAATGCCTCGCTCTTTCCCCACCTAGTAGTGTGGCATAGGGTTCGTGAACAGATATGAGAGTTTCCGAAACTTAGGGGTGCCTTATTTTGGGGTCCTTATAATATGGATCCTATTGTCTTATCATTTAGGGTACTATATTAGTGTGCCCTTCTGCGGAAACTTCCACTATCTGTGAAGCCCAACCACTAAGCTCGAAGACATGGACCCTGAACCTACACCCCAACACAAGAAGAAGGCTAATGCACGCAACAGTCGATGGGGTAAGAAAGACAAACGTCAAAAAACCCAAGCCCTAAACCCTAACCTCCCTAAACCTCCCGAAACCCTTTTGTAAGCCCTAAAGCCTAGACCTTCCTAAACCCTTTTGTAAGCCCTAAACCCTAAACCTTCCTAAACCTTTTTGCAAGCCCTAAACCCTGAACCTTCCTAAACCCTTTTGGAAGCCCTAAACCCTACACCTCCCTAAACCCTGTCCAAACCCCAGGCCTCAAGAGAAGCAGGGTCCGTCTCTCCGAGGCTCCTCATCGCCTTGACTCGACAGGCTTGGGCTGGCGCCGCGATGCCCAGGATTCGGTTTAGGGGCGCCTTAGGGGCTAGGATGCCCAGTAGTACCCTTATTCTCTTTTTGTAGTCCTAGGTTTCTTATATATTGTGTCCAGGATTCGGTTTAGGGGCTTTGGGGGTTTGCAGAGTTTTTGTGGCATGTGCACTTACTTACCTGTCCCGTCGTCTGCTTTGCCTTTACTCGACATTTCTTCTGTCTCTGTTCTAGGGTTTAGGGTTTAGGGTTGACTGACTGTGTGATGTGAGTTGCTTTCGATTCACCTTGCATCGGATTTCCTCACACAGTGTCACAATGCTACACTGCTTCGCAAGAAGCTCACGCAAAGCCCTGAGCTTAATTTCTCCATTGTTTCGGACCGCGGGAAAGGCTTAGGGTGAGGGCTTAGGGTTTAAAGGTGCGGAGGTCCTGGTGGAGCTGAAGCTCGTTTTCCTTGCGGCGGATAGAGGAGGTGAAACTCGGTGCCTTGCTATCTGATAGCAAACCTTCGAACCAAAGCACTCATGGAGATTCGGACGGCGTCCTAACCCATTCTAATCCTTGGTGTTCGCGTTACCTCTAGAGAGTTTAGGGTCTAAAAACTACAAGTCTCCCACACCGGGATTGACGGGAGACTCGAAGCAAAGTTGAGTTGAGGTGTGGAGTTCGTCGCCAGCGCCGTGTCATGACGACGAGTCCTGCAAGGTGCGTTGGGTGTGCATCGAATCACGACGGGGAGCACGAGCATCAAGTTTGAACACCCAACACAGTACTGACACTGACTCGCAATCCCTCGTCGGTGGTCCTTCGGTTCCTGCATGAACCTGAACTGGTGCAGGAGCAGAACGGCAAGCAGCACGCAAGCTGTTCAATAAAAAACGAAACCACCCCAAGCGAACTCCCAACAGTCTAACATGCACTAATCCCTGCCACCCACGCAGGCACGCTTGGACACCATCACGTCCAAGCTGGATGAGCTCAGAGACGAAATGAGAGGCATTCATTGATTGGCTTAGGGTCCAAGCAAGGCCAAGGGCTATTTGGTAATCAAGTCTGGACATATTCTTACTAGCAGCAAAGAACATGGCAGACAGCATTAGGAACGGCGAAGACTCAAGACACACAGGACTACCAACTACTACCAACAAGGCTGCTGCGAGCAAGGGCCAGGGCTCCAGGTGTGTGTGTGTGTGTCGTTTGTTGGTAACCTTTAGACAGGATTAGGGCTGGGGGTTTAGGATTTCCATGTCATAAGCACTCCTGCATGGTGAACCTGGTCATGATGCCGAGCACCCATACTGTTCCGCAAAAGCTTCCTAAGACCAAGACGGAAGGCAGGAACATAGCCAGCAATTCTTTGGGTGCCAGGCAAGCACCTCACTCTGCAAGCTTTGGAAGAGCCTTGCCTGCAGCTAGGAGTTTGTGTTTGACCATATTGACGACCCCTATGCAGTCGGTCTTATCGTCCCGAACCCTCAAAGGAAATCTTTCCTGCAGGTTGCAAACGGGGTTTAGGGTAGGCATCAAGAAGTCGTGTTCCTTCCTCCAACCAGTGTGTGATGCCATTGTAAGGTGTATACATCTATATATATATATATGTGTGTGTACATGTATTTACAGAAAAACGTATGTATGTATGTATGTACGTAGAAAGAGTTAGTAAGCATTGTGGCTGTTATTATCAGTACTACGATGGTTATTACCAACATTGTCGTTGAACTTATTTGTGTTACAAGCTTTAATCCTACAAGTATTACTGCTGTTTACTGTGATCTCAATTCCGCGTACTTTTGTGCTCTTACGACTGAAGTGCGCTTCTGACTTCAAGACCTAGGATTCGATATCTGGACTCTGGAACTTATGGTTTCGGGGTTTCTGGATGCTGGCACTTGGTTTGGGGTTTCGGGTTTCGGGTTTAGGGTTTAGGGTTCTTAGGGTTTAGGGTTTAGGGGGAAGCTCCCAAATCAAGCCAAGGAGATCCGCGGCGGGATCCTTTCAGGGAGACGTGTGGAGCTACCGTCAGCGCAGCGGCAGGTTGGAAACCCTGGACTCAGTGTTTAGGGGTTTGGGGGTCTGGGGTTTAGGAGTTGAGGGTTTAGGGTTTTATCTTGGGCCTTGACCATTGATGATTAGATAAGTCTTTGGGGTATGTTGCACGCCTGAATTCCGTAGAGTCTACAACGAAATAAGATGTCTCATCGTTCGGACCTCTATGCAAGGCAAGGCCCCCTTCAAGTTCAACAGAGGTTTGGGTTCTAAGGTTCAGTCTGTCGGTTTAGGGTTTTGGCTGGAACGGTTCGCTTCGGGATGCAGGGTCTGGGTTGGCGGTCTAGGGCCCAAAGGGCTGCCGAGCCCCAAATGGCAGTTTCACAGAAAATTAGGAGCACCTTATTTTGGGGTCCTTTTAATAAGGATCCTACTATTTAGGGTATTATGTTAGGATCCCCTATTTTCGGAAACTCCCAAATCCTAAGCCGTCGTAGTTTTGAGCTGAGGCTTGGGTCCCTGCATTGCTGAGCCCTTGCCTCGTATGCCCATGAAGAAGCATCTCTTTTCTCGAAGGGGTTTGCGGGGCAAGCACAACTTCCTTGTAATCTTTTCTCCGGGTACAGGACCCTTGATCCCTAAACCCTAAACTTTCCTAAACTCTAAATCCTAATCCCTAGACCCTAAACTAGGGAACCCTAAATCGTAAATCCTAAACCCTAAACCCTAAGTCTTGAGAAATAGACCCAAGCCAAAAGCCAGCTCACAGAGACCCTTGGGCGGTTTTTGCACTCCAAAGCGCATTCGAAATAGGGGGCTCTTGTTAAGGATTTTACGTTAATTTAAGTTACCATCATGAATTATATGGTTTCCTGATTAGGGTACCTTAAATTCAACCCGTAACAAGAACCCAGAGTAGTGGGCAGTCATGTTGCCAACTAAAGCCTCCCCAAGCTTCACGTGACCCGAAGCACTAAACCCATTTTAAGTTTTAGGGTTAGGGGTTTAGGGTTTAGGGTTTAGGGTTTAGGGTTTAGGGTTTAGGGTTTAGGGGCGGGGACCCTAACCCGAAACTCCGAAGCCGAAGCCATGTCTGCAAGCAGCGTGCGGTTGCGCCAGCACCTGGAGAAGGGGAGCCCGCTGATCAGCGAAGTGACCTTCGATGCCAGGCGTATACTTTAGGGGCCCCAACAAACAGGACAGGGTTTTGGGAGATGTTATGCTACAACCATGACTGAGACGAGGATGTTCAAACAAGGGCCAGGGCAGAAGCTACAGGACTCAATCAACTGATTGGGGATGAATGTCTAATTACTTATAGCCTAAACCCCAACCCTAAACTTTCCTGCTTTCCCATGGATCAGTTCAGTATAGAGCACAGACAAAGGAGGAGGTAGAGAAGGAGATCGCAGACATGTGTACAACCTGCAGGTATCCCTAAGCCTTCAGCCCGCAACTTATGCTCTGTTCAGGATGGTGTTGACGGTGTCTCTATCTATCTATCTATCTGCGCATATACATATATATATATATACACACACATACACAGGGCTGAGCGAGCTCCCCAACCCGCGAATCTTATGCATCAAATCCTGAACCTTCAGGGTGGACGATTCCGGATGAAGGGTTTACTCAGTTTTCGGATTCCCTTATGCAGGGTTTGGAGCTTGCATTCAAGTGGAGGGGTGTGCTTAGGGATCTGCGGTAAAGTGGCCCGGCTCTTAGGCCTTCGAGGCAGAGTGCGTTGGAGGAGCTGCCTTACATAGTAACATACTACAGGCTAACCTAGAGGCTCCAAATATAGTACCATTATGGAATTAGGTTCCCAAAGTCATGATATGGATGGTCTTTTGGGACTTGTCTCCATATTGGTACTATATATGGAGCCTCTGGGTAAGTATGAGTTTCTTACATCAGGGCAGCTGATTTGTGCTTGGCTTGGGTCCTTGGTACAAGCTGAAGCTCATATGCAATCTTTCGGCCTCTGACAATGCCTCAAACGGTTCGAAGAACAGAAATGCAAGTGTAGGTTTGCCGTTCAGGAGAAAGGTTTAAGGTTATTTCGGGAAACCGCAAAAACGATCTTAACAAAACCCCACCCCTAAACCCTAAACCCTAAACCACCCATTCGGGGTGCGGAGTTCCGGCTGGCATCGTGAGGCACCGCCCCGTCTCGACGAACGTCAGCAGACACTTTCAGCGCCCTGTCGCAGTGGAGAACCACAGAGCCCGAAACCCTTCAAGTAACTCGGGAATATATCTGAACTCCAACCTTCAGAGCCATAAACCCTAAACCATCCTAAACCCCCATCCCGAAATCCTAGGTCCTAGACCCTAAACCCTGAACTCCTAAACCCTAGACCCTAAACCCTAAACTTCTTAAGCCCCGCCAGGTCTTCTAATAGCCATGGATTGTTCGCTTAACTTAGAGAGCTACCTTCATAGTACCCGTATAGAAACCTTTATGGGTGGTTGTCTAAATTATGGCCCCTTTGTGGGTCCCCTAAATATTAGGTGCCGTAGTATAATCAGGACCCCCAAAAACGGACCCTAAATTTGACAACCACCCATATAGATCCCGTTAAGGAGCCCTAAGCACCCGAATTTATGTGGCCTCCTTGAGACTCTGGGCTTCAACTGCCGCACTTTTTGGTGCGGTTGGTCTAGGGGGTTTGGGGCCACCAGGGTGAAGGTTTAGGGTTTAGGGTTTTAGGGTCTCGGGTTTAGAGGGTTAAGGGGTGTAGGGTTTAGAGGGTTTAGGGTTTTAGGGTTTCGGGTTTAGAGGGTTAAGGGGTTTAGGGTTTAGGGCTGAGTGGGAGTTTGAGGTTTAGGGCTGAGGGTTCATCGCGAAACCCTGTGTCAGATTAGGTGATTGTATTCCGAGACTGTGACACTACTATGGGGGCCTAAAGAATTACCAACATTAATCTTAGGGTTCCTTATTGTATAATTATAGTTATAGTACAACGGGCCCCAAAACCCTATTCTAATGATAAGGCCCCTATATTTGGTGCTTCCTGTGAAAAGACACATGCTTGTAGTAGCTGCCTGTCCCAGTTAGCGCTTGCGGCAGGGTGTCTATTACTGAGCTTTGCTCAGTGATTATCGCGACAGGTGGAGACTTTAATTATGAACCGAGGACTTCTTCGGCAATGTCATGTGCCGTAGTTGCTGTGCGTCTTTTGCGTGGTCCTGCTTGCAAAAGGCTCTTTCGCCACCCTTTGCTTCAACCGCCGACGACTGCTATTGCAACATCGGCGGCTCCCAGCACGACGACGACCACCACCATGACAGCAACAAGAACAAACGGCGAAAAGCGCACCATTTGCTACCGTTACGACCTACTGATGCTGTCACTGCCACTGCCACTCATACGGCCACTGTCAGTGCCTCCGCCACAGGCTGATGCTCCTGCTCCTCCTGCTACTTCGATGACGACTACCACTAAGCTACTATAGGGGCCTCAATAACAACCAATACTATTTTGGGGGTTCTTTATTATTAGAAGTATAAACAGTACAATGGACCCCCAAGACCCTATTCTAATCACTAAGGCCCCTATATTACTGTCACGGCTATTGCGCTGCTGCAGCCTGTTGTGCTGCCACTGCTCTTCAGCAGCTGCTACTGCTGCACCTACTGCTGTTGATGCCGGATTAGGAGCAGAGCTTATAGGACAATCGAGGCAGTCACAATCGCATACGAGCATTGACTTTCCAATCCAGTCCCGAGTGCCAAAAATCCTCGCAGGCTTAAGCCCTAAACCCTAAAGTGATGCCTGCCGCCCAAGGTCGCAGCGCGTGATTGCACCGAACCTAGACGTGTGGGCCCCTGCTTTACCGCCTGGGGGTCCGGGAGTTCCGATGACGGCTGATGCCACAACCCGAGTCGTTTCGGTGCAGAGCGAACCGGAAAGTAGCTCAAAGCTCGAACACGTGGTGACATAGTGAGTTTTCGTAGGATCGAAGAGAGATGAGCGATTGAAGATAAGCCTATACTGCACTTTAGCGTCAGGATAGCTCTTCCAAGTTCGCAAATCCGGAAGTCCCTCCAAAACCCGAAACCGGACACCCTAAACCCCTGAATCTTGAGCCTGCTGTCAGGGAAAGAACGAGGTCAAGTAAGAAAGTGTAGGAGCGAGGCTGTTCTCTGCATTTGCCGATATTCCATCACCTTCACAGCTGCCATCCGCTCCAAGAGTAGCCATCTCTGCCGTGGGCATGGAAGTGCCTGCGACACAATAGCAGACAATAGCACCACCACCACCAACAGCACTGCTACCACCCCAGTGGCCGCCACTACCACCATGACCACCACCACCACCATCACCACCACCATCACCACCACCATCACCACCACCACCATCAACAGCAACAATCATAACCAACAGGAGCAACAGGAACAACAGGAACAACAGGAACAACACGATCAACACGAACAGCACAAACAACACGAACAACAAGAACAAGCATAACAACAAGACCAACAAGAGCAGCAAAAAACAACGAGAACAACGGCCACAACAACAGTAACAACAACAGCAGCAGCAGCAACAACAACAACAAACACCAACGACAACACCGGCAGCAGCAACAGCACCAGCAGCAACAACAACAACAACAACAACACCCACAACAACAAGCAGCGGCAACAACGACAACAGACAACATGAGTTACAACTGCAACAGCATTGACGACTGCAACAGCAGCAGCAACAAAAACAGCGACGACAACAACACAACAACAGCTGCAACGGCAACAGAAACTACAGCCGCAAAAAAACAACTACAACCATAAGCCTGTAGCTGCAATGGCAATAGCAGTTTTCGTCCTAATCCTTTGCCCGGTCGGCCTCCATCATGATCATGGCGGCTTTTCGAAACCGTCGTTTATTCCCATCGTAAGCATGTTGGGACGCAATGGTCACGTTTCGGGCTTGGGGTAGCTGTAGATGGAGCGGGAATATAGGAGCTTTAATAATTACCTATAGTCTTTTGGGTGCTCCTTATCATGTTGGTAATATAATACAGCCCAAAAGCATATTCTAATTATTAAGGCCTATATTATCCTCATCGTCCCAGGTGCGACACCATGCGTTTCTCACGCTGAAGCGCTCCACCCCTGGTGCGGCAAAGGCCGATCTTTTTGCCTTAATCATAGGGATCCTTAGGGGTGTAGGGGGGAGGGGTGTAGGGGACTATATTTCCTTACATAGGCCTTATTAGTCCTTATTATGGGCCTTAAGGCCCCCTACCCCCCCTCCCCCTACACCCCTAAGGATCCCTATGACTTAAGGGTTTAATTTGGCTGGGCACTTTGGGTTCAGGAGGGTTAAGGGTTCAGGGATCAGGGTCAGGAAGTAGGATTCAAGGTTTTAAACTTTAAACCCTTATAACCGAAAGTAAGCCTAAACCCTAATGTAGGAACCTGATGAAGAAACCTTGGGCCTTTACTAGGGCTCCTTTTACGAATCCTACTAGTTTGGGGATTATAGGTCCAGGGTTTCTTAATCAGGTTCCTACATTAAGCAGGTTAAGGGTTCAGTAACCTGGCCTAGGCTGTGAAGATGAGGGTCCTATGAGGGTCAGGGGCAGTCTTATGGAAGCCGACGCCCGCAGAGACTCCAAAACCCCTTAACTACGGAATATACCTTAAATCATTATAGTTGTCCTGCTATTTTAGGTATATTGCTTAATTAAGGAATATTCTTTAAATCATAATCTTAAGGCCCCTATGATTTAAGGAAGATTGCTTAGTTAAAGGGATGTTGGAAGGTCTGGGCCCATGCTGTCTAAAGTGGCCGCGTTCTTGAACGCAGCCATAGGGTGTAGGTTTCTGTGTTTAAGGGTCAGTTGTAAAGTTGAAATTTCTTGGCAGACCCTAAACCCTAAACCATAATTTCGATACCTGACTTTTTGAACCTTCCGCCTCACCACGTATAAACGTTGCCTGGAGTCGGACTACCTGGATCCAAGACTGCCACTACGACGACGTCTACTACTATGGTTGATGATATGAATCCGGTGTTACCTTCATGACGCTAGACTATGGGGTTCATGGAGTGCTCAATACTATGAGTAGCGCAGGATTTATTTCATCAACCGTACTTCTACTACTAGTTCTACTACTACTTCCACTACGACGATGACTAGGCTACCGGGGCACATGTGTCAGGTTCGAAGCATGATTAGCATCGCTGTGACTGCAGCTAGCCAACTTAGTGGCTTAGTGGTTTATGAACCGACCTCTCATCAGTCGAGACTTTAAGCCCCAAACCCCAAACCGAACACCTCAACCTGAAACCCCCAAGCGACTGAGCCCAAACCCTAAACCCCTAAACGCTGCTCCGAAACCCCTAAAGGCAAAAGCTCAAAACCATAAGCTGAATACCTACCAGGATCCCCCCAAGTGCCCCTTAATAGAGCCCTTATGGCCCGTAATCGGGGGTATTTAGGGTTAGAGGGTAGCTGGGCCTTAATAAGTACCAAGAATATTGTTAGGGTTCATTGTTTTTAACTATACTATACAGGAACCCAAAATCCTATTCTAATTATTAAGGCCCCTATACTAAGCCCCCATAATACCCATCAGAGTGATCCTTACAGACCCCTTGGTCGGAACCCTTTAAAGGAAGCCCTAGTCTAACCTATTCTAATTATTAAGGGCCCTATGTTAGACCCAAAGACCTGCTCTGACGAGACCTCCGTTCCGGCTCTCCTGGTGATTGTGGACGCAGAGCTGAGCTGACGCAATTTCAGGGTTTAGGGTCTTTGGGTTTAGGGTTTGGGGTTTAGGGTTTAGGTGGACCAGCTGAAGCGTCTCGCGTGACGATAAGGGTTACGATAAGGACTGCTTTTATGAGGGTACTGTAGCATATTCGTATAAGGGTTACCATAAGGGCTGCTCCAAGGGCACTAGAGGGGTCATACTCGGAAAGACTATTTTCCCGATCTTGGGGATTCTTGGCAACCAGGTTGGGCTACAGGAAATTCGATTCTATCCCTTTTACATGTTTGCTGTGAGACAGGGTGTGGCCGGGTGTGAGACACTCTTCCGTGGGGAGGCTTCTTCCTCATCTAACTAGTATTGGGGTCGTCGGCTTCTCCACAACGATGGTCAAACATGGTGACAGTGTCTCAACAGGCGTCAATCTACTGGATTTCTCTACCTCAAGCCCAGACATTCGTAGCATCGATCAGCATTCTGCCGCGGGAGTTTGGTATCGTGTACGGGTGTAAGGAAGTGCTCAGCTGGCAATTACATCTCGGAAGGGAGATATGAGTCCTTTCGCCGTCTTCAGGCTACTTGAAAAGTCTGAGTGTGATGATATCAGCGAGATCCGCTCATAGCTCTCTACAGGCTGCGCCAGGGTTTCCCGTAGTCGGCGCCATGGAGTCTTTGATTTTCTTCGCTCAGGCTGGTGGTTCGTTCGCTGCATTGGCCGGGGCATACCCGAGATGGGTTTACAATGGCTTATGGCAGTTTCCGAAAACAGGGGACCCAAATATAGTACCCTAAAATAGTAGGATCCTTATTAAAAGAACCCCAAATAAGGTACCCCTAATTGTCGAAACTCCCATATGGTTAGTTTTCTGAATGAAGGTCCCATCTTAGGTCCCCAATACAGCACGGCAGTACGGCACCCTTATAACAAGGGACACAAATAGGGACCCCAATTCAGAGAACCGCCAATACGTAGGATTGCGCACGGCGCAGTAATCTGAGAGGGGTATATGTGTTGGCATGCTTGCATGCTTATGGGCGTACACCTCATGCACATGTATGACGTATACATGGGAGTTTCCGACAACCGCGGACCCCAATATAGTACCCTTTTTAGTAGGATCCTTATTATAAGAACCCCGAAATATGGTACCCCTAATTTTCGGAAGCTACCACATGTCTTTTCTAACAACGTAATCCTGATGTGAATCTCTGACTGTCTGCAGGAGTTAGGGTTGGGATCGCAGGTTCGGAGAGATTTTGTATTCATCCTAAACCGTAAACTGTTGGAGGTTCATGGCTAGTGATAAGTAGGGGTATAAGTAGGGTAACCATACTTACAACCCATATTAGGGGACTTATAACCCTAACTTAAAAAAACCCCAAACCTTCCTTCCATCTTCGCTGTCAGATGTTCTGCTGTGCGCGAGATTTGAGCTGCGTCGGGGCGCGGGCCCAGGCCTCAGTTTCTCTCTTGGTCTGAACCGGGGCTCCCTAGCAGTTCCTTTTTGTCGTTCATGTTTAGAATCCTATAATTACGGCAATCCCAAAAAGGAACTACTATGGAGCTTATGGGAGATTCGCAGCATGTCTCCGAAGTGTGAACTCTGATGTGCAAGAGTAAGGGTTTTTTGAGTGCCGCTATGAGGGTCTAGTATAGGGCCTTAATAGCTAGAATAAGGTTTCAGGGTCTACCTTGAGATCGCAGTTCCCTAAAACGCCAGACCCCCATGTTCCTTGAAAAGAGCCCATGTACTCAGGCTCATATAGGACCCTTTTTCTAAGATTCGAGTGATCCAGCATACGCAGCCCTAAACCCCAGCCCTAAACGCTCAAGAGCTAAACCCTGGAAGCCTAAACTTGAAAGCCCAAAGCCCCAAGCGCCCCTAACAATGCAGACTTCTAGAATCCTTCTGGACCCTGCAGTGGATCCTCCAAGAACCCTTCAAAATCCCGAAAGAAAAACAGGTAGGAGGCCCTAAAGCCTAAACCCTAAACCACACAGATCCTAAGCCCGAACTCTTGAGCAACCCGAAGCCTTAAACCGTGAACCCTAAACCCCAAACCCCTAAGCCCTAAACCCCTAGGCCCTAAGCCCTACACCCGAAACCCCTCAAAAGCTGGGACTCTTAAGCTGTTGTGCTGTCGGGCTTTCTCGTTTGAGGTATAGGGGTCAGGGTTTCGCGGCTTCAGGTTTTTGGGGGGTTTTCATTTTCGGACCTCCGCCGCTTTTAGGGTTGGCTTTAGGGCTTCGGGGTTTCGAGTTGAGAGCTGCTAAGGTTCATCTCTACTGCTCTGCAAATAAGTGAAGTGAAAGTCAAGCCCGTTTCTTCCAGTTGGACCTGGCTGCTCAGAGCTCAGGCAAAGCCCCAAGCCCCGCCGCGATCCACCGGGTCCTCCCCGTTTGTGGAGCCAGACCCTCAGACCTTTTCGCCAAGTCTTGGAATGCCTTTAACTTTTAGCTCCCGCAACCCCATAACGCGAGTGAGTCCACAAGCCTCGGGCTGTTGAATGCATATACATAGCTGCACTGTGCACCGCGCATCCAAGCTCTGCGCCCCGGGTGTTCATTTTTGCGATAAGGGCTGGATTGGGGCTGTCGTCAAACGATTGTTAACAAAGCTAACTTATAAGACATGGAACCAAGAGTCAAGCAGTAGCAACAGCAACAGCAGCAACAACAACAACGACAACACGCAGCACCCAAGGCTGATATTTGTCGTCATCATCACATAATCGTCGCACTTGTCATCACCTTCATCACCTTCATTGCTATCATCACCATACTCTCCATAAATCTTACTCACCATCAGCAGAATCACGAAGAAGACCTGGACCATCAGAACTGTCAGCGCAGTCATCATAATCTTCATCAGTCTTCTTTCATTATCACCACCGTCCTCGTAGTAGCACATTTCAGCATGTGCGGTCAAAGAAGGAGCGAAACGAAGCTCATCGCGAGTCAAGCTGCCGACTCGGATGCAGCAAACAGACCAATGTCGGCTTTGCCTCTTTCTTGAAGGCAAGCCTTGCAAACAAATCCAATAAAGAAGTGCCTGGGAGCTGAAAAGTTTACCGTCTCAACCACTCACTCCCCCAAACGGTCCAAGTACCATTATAGTAGGTACTGAGTAGGTATTTGGGCCCCCAAAGTCTATACTATACTATTTCGTGGACCCTTTGGGTTCTAGTTGTGGTTCACGTCGTGCGAAACTCTCTGGTCAGGCACCCGGGCGTGGAGTGTGAGCCCAAGCATGCAGAGCGTTACCCCGCAGTTTGGGGTAATATAGGGGTCTTAATAATTACAATATGGTTTCGTGGTAGATGATATCATTTCATATCTAAAACAAGGAACCCCAATAAGGCTCCTATATTGGGCCTTAAGTCTTTCAAGATGCTTCGTAGGCTACGAGAGAAAACACAGCAGTTTTTGAGGCATGAGCATCGGTTCCAATCAGTTCAAGCACAGCGTAAGCAAAGGACAATAGGCACATAGTGCATGCAAAGAACAAGGCAGACAAATAATATTAGCAAATACGCAGATAAATGTGTGTATATATGTATACACATACACACGCTTTATATGTATATGTCAAACGTATATGTACCGCTGCTTCTCAGGTTCAGCGCAGGCGAGAGCGTGCAGCAGGGGACCCTGCTGTGGGAGTACATACACGTGTGATTCAGCCCCAAAAGCGATAGACTCCAGGATTGAGAGTCTCAAGTTTACAGTTCAGAAGTGTAATGTAGGAACCTGATTAAGAAACCCTGGTCCTCTAACCCCAACATTATTAGGATCCATATAAGGAAGCCTCATAAAGACACAAGGTTTCTTAATTAGGTTCCTACATTACAGATTATCCTTTGGGGTTCAGTGTTGAAGGAGCTGTGGTGTCCTTCTTCTGAAGCCTTTCCTGGAAGTACGGCACCTGTTGCTCAAATTGACCCTGTGGGAGGCTTGCGTTTGAACGAAACACTGTGCAGATAGGGGTCTTCGTCGTGTGGCGGCTAGAGTTAGAGTCCCGCCGGAGGCAGGTGAAGGCTTGGCTTTGAGCAACTTCCCTTTCGCGCTGAACTGGTTCCGCTTGGGTCCTGGTTCGTATGTCGGGTTCGGATCGCTCCTGGCTTGGTAAGTAGTGCTCAGTTTTACTCTTCTCTACATGGGACACGGGATGAAACACGGAGAATGCGCCACCATGCGGATGGTTGTCAAAATTATGGTCCCTTCTGGGATCCCTATATGGTACGGCACCCAATATTTAGGGTACCCAAAAAGGGGCCATGATCTTGAGAACTACCCATGCAGACCCCCAATGGCCCAAGCAAGAATGATTTACCTTTGCTTTGTAGGGAATGGGAGAATGGTAGTAATAGTAGTCATAATTGTACCCCATTCTTCCATTCCCTACTAACCAGAGGTAAGTTACAGGATTATTAAGCCCCCTATATTATTATAGTACCCTTATAGATCCCTTATAGTAATCCTTATAGATCCCTTTATAAGGCCCCCTCCATTCCCTACTAGCCACAGGTAAGAAGAACCAAGAAAGAAGGCCCAAATCCAGGTTCCCCGGGCCCCAGCCTGCGGTGGAGTCGGCAGCCACGTACATGAGACCTCCGTCGGATCAGCAGGGGCCCCAGCACTTGGTAGAGTTTGAGAGCTGTATGTGTATATATATATATATATATATATTTTTTTTATTTGTGTACATGTGTAGGTAGGTATGTATAATGTGTTTTTATTGCATCACACTGTACTTAGTATGAGTTGAAGATCAAGATATTCTTATAAGTGCTATACATTTAGATATGTGCATATCATCATGTATACCATTTAGCATATAATTCCTCAATCGTAATAGAACCTGAAATGTAAAGTATAGAATATAGGATGTTAAATAGAGGAGAAAGAATGTAGAATACATCATGCGTAATATTAAAAATGCTGCATGTAGTATATGATATGTAATGTGTATTGTAAAATATCATGTATATATCACAATATACAAATATG